AGACTGACCCTCTCAAAGGTCTTTCAGGCCCATAAGTCACAACTTAAGAAAAGCACAAAACAATAATGCACAAAATAGGAGACTACCAATTCTGATGCAGTAATACATTATGTTTAACTGCACAGTCAACATCAAATTTTAATTTTGCACAACAGGTAACACCGATGAAAGTAAAAGCATAAGGCTTCAGGCCCATCAGAGTTCAAGTTTATACTTAGAAAGTGCCAGAATGAGAACAATGAAAATTTCACTCAAAATTGCATAAAATTCAATAATTAATGATAACCCAATTGACCTGGCTTTCTAATTTGAACTGCATGCCAATCCTAAAAATCATGCTTATAAGTTACATGTAATAATAAGTAACACAGTTTTCTTTTCGTAATGTTTGCAGTAGCAGTGCAAAAAGATTATTGTCAATTTTGATGTAAAATTACATAATAAATTATAGAATAATTATCACCAATTTTTGATTATTGACTATAAATAGCATGGACATGTAGAAAATTTGATTACCATTCGGCTACATGTCCATAGGAGCTCAGAGTCCCACAATGAATATACCAAAAAGATAATGAATATTTCACTAAAATGTATAACTTCCAGAAAAAGAAGCCAATTAGACTGCTTTTCCAATTCGGGCTGCATTTTAGTCCTGTGTTTCTTTTTTGAAAGTTTGACAATCATAAGTAACACGGTTTTCCCATAATGGTCATCATGGCAGCAGCACCAAAAATTGTATTTTCTTCTATTTTGATGCAACATAACATAATGCTTAATGGCATAATGACCATCAATTTTTAAAAATAAAATATACGTGTCATGGATTTTCAGAAAATGTGACTAGCATGGGTCTTCAAGCCCGTGGAGGTTCTAAGTCGCACCTTGAAAATGCCAATAAGTGAAAAATTAAATGTTCACAAAAAACTGTTAAATTACCAGGAAAATTTACCAAACAGACTGCATTGCCTACTGAAGCTGTATGTTAGACCCATGTTTCTTTCCTGTAAGTTTGAGAACAGTAAGTGACATGATTTCCCTTAAATGGTCATCATAGAAGCAGTGCCCAAAATAGGGGTTTCTTCAAATTTTGATGCAACATTACATAATGTTTAACAGCAGAATGACCATCAAATTTTATTAATGAAATATTAGTAACATGGACATTCAGAAAACGTGACAAGCAAAAATCTTCAGGATCATGGTACTTCAAAGTCACACCTTGAAAATGCCAACATGTGAAAAATTAAATTTTCACAAAAAACTGTTTAACTGCCAGAAAAAATTACCAAACCGACTGCACTGCCTACTGAAGCTGTATTTTAGACCCATGTTTCTTTCCTGTAAGTTTGAAAACAGTAAGTGACATGGTTTTTCTTAAATGGTCATCATGGGAGCAGTGCCCAAAATAGGGGTTTCTTCAAATTTTGATGCAATATTACATAATGTTTAACAGCATAATGACCATCAATTTTTAATCATAAAATATTAGTATCATGGATATTCAGAAAATGTGACTAGCAAAGGTCTGCAGGCTCATGGAACTTCAAAGTCACATCTTGAAAATGCCAAACTGTAAACAAGACAGCACTTTTCTGAAATGGGTTTATTTCCATTTTTAACACTTTTTTAACATAAAACAAAATTAACAGTTTACTGCCATTTTTATATGACCAACTAAGAAAATTGATGAGATGGGAAAAATATCAATAGAACAGTGTTAAATGTCCAATTTCCTCCATTCTGAGATTCTGAACATAGTGGATGATTGAATCTGACAAACTGCAATGATATGAGTTTATTTCCATTTTTGAAACTTTATTACACAATACACGATAACAAGTTTACCATCATTTTTACAAAATCAACTAACAATGTTGTAAAGATGCAGGAAATGTCAAACAAACACTTTTACGTATCTTATTAGTTTAATAATGAGACTGTTAACATGCCTAAGAATTGAATCTGAGGAAATGTGAAAAAACAGCATAACTTCTAAAATAATGGCCCGATTATGCTGATTTTCGAACTCAACCTGCGTTTTAGTAAGATTGACCACTCCTGTGAGTAAAATTACAATTGGCCAATCCGTTTTTCTTATATTGTGTTATCAGTGTTGTATTTATATTGAAAATAGTGAAAAAACAGCATAAATTCCCTAAAAATGGCCCAATCATGCTGATTTTCGAACTTGACCTGCGTATTATGAATATTCATCAGTTCTGTTAGTTTCAAGCCAAAAGCAAAAACGGTTTTCCATTTATCGTGTTATTGGTAAAAGTGCACGACGGCGACAACAGACGCAGATGATGGCTATATGTACAGACACATCTGTGTCTGTACATAAAAACAGCATAAATTCCCTATAAGTGACCCGATCATGCTGATTTTCGAACTTGACTTGCGAATTACGAATATTCATCAGTCCTGTAAGTTTCAAGCCAAAAGAAAAAAACAGTTTTCCACTTATCGTGTTATCGGTAAAAGTGCACGGCGAAGACGGGGATGACGACGACGACGGCAACGACAGACGCAGCTGACGGCTATATGTACAGACACATCTGTGTCTGTACATAAAAATGCATAATTTATAACCATGCAGAGCTATGAAGTCCAATATGATATGAACACAAGCACAAAAAACTAACACATATGCATTTATGGTTTTTATTTTGTAAAATAAGTTTAAGAGAAACCTTAATACGTAGTCTTAATATTCTCTTTTCTTTAAATTCAAATAATGACTACATTTAAGTGAATGCATGAAAATATATATACACATGTATAAAAAATGAGTCTAGATCAATTTTTAAATAAACCAGACTGAACTGCTGTACACCATTCAGAATTACATTTACTTAATTATGGCAATTAAAATATCCTTTCATACTCATAAATACAATAGTTTCCTTTGATTAGACAGAATCAAATACATCAAATAAGATAAATAATGACCACTAATTTGAATGAAAAAATGAGGTAGAGTACATATTTTAGACTCAGAGTGTGATGATACAAGAAAAATGGGAAATACTTATACCAAGGAATGACAGGTCTATACCAACAACAAAACTGCAAGAATACTGCGATTGAAAAAGACTCGTAAAATGGCAATGAAGAAGCCTGTTTAGTTTGTCAAATATTTTTTTCAGTGCATTTAAATGCCAAACAATGAAAGGAAGCACCTTTTAATCAGTCAAAAGCTGCCCATTCCAATCCTTATTTAGAACAAAATGGCACAAATGGATACAGAAGAATTGAAAATATAATTACTGCAGTTCAACAAAACATTAACTGAACTGCACATAAATTAACAAAGGTTCACAATCAGATCTGAAAAAATGAGATAGAAAACTGAAGAAAGGCACACAGTACCTTATTTTTCTTACCTCCAATGAATAATACAACAAACTGTGAGATTTTTCAAAGATAAAAAAATACACACATAAGCATCACTTACATTATGAAATCTGAAAATCCTTTAAAATGCCCTTTTCAAGTAAAATGAATGCTATCACCATCCTAATTGCTATTAAATATATTTCCAATCTCTTCATCTTTACTAACATGATTGATTGCAGTGAAAGTTTTTTAAATTTGTAACATAATCTATGATGAACACTGACCATTAATTTCAAATCAGTTCTGACAGAGTATACTATCTAATACCCACAAGCAGTAAACAAAAATATAAATAAATAAACGTAAATAAAAATATTTACCTTAATAATTAATTACAATCTCTATAAGTTATTGGAAAACAAAACCTAGGTCATCTTCTGCAAAGTAATTCTTGAATTTGAAATAAGATAAAACCCTGTTGCTTTATAACATTTAGGAGACAGAACTGGGATTACAAGAACATATCTATAAACTACACTGAGTAAAAATATAAATGCCCTACCCCATATATATAATTTTTTATCAGTATTTTGAAATGTATATATAAATCATATTAAGTGAATTTTGTTGTTCAATGTTCTGCAGATTACTGTACAATTATAAGACAACTTCAGCTAATTTGGAGTGACCCATTGCATTTCACATAAATTATTCACATAAGGCATTTATATTTTTGCTCAGTGTACATTTGAAATGAAGTATTTTGAATGAAAGTAATGTGATGTTTATATCAAATACTAGGGAACAGAATGAAAAAATCCAAAAATTCTGTCCCAATCTTCCCCTTTCAATGCCTTTCAAAGATGGAAAAACAAAATAGCTTTGTGCGTGCATAGTGCCAACAATTTGTTTAACAGCATGTGGTTGAATTTATGCTTGAGGATCCCTTATCACATATCATGTATCTTTTTAATATTTCAGATCTGTACCAAACCCTGTATTAATCTGTAAAAAAAAAAAAAAAAAAAAAAAAAAAACTCTTACCAAAACCTTGAGATATATGCCTCATAAGTTATTAATGGCTTGTGCACACAAGAAAAATTGCAGTTGTATGTAAAAAAATGTAATTTGAAACAAATAATATCAGTTCCATTGCAGTTTCACCTTGTGTGAAGACAACAAGGTTATCTATACTCAAATGCACCTCTAACCCAAAGGTCAGATAAATCACACTCCAAAGCCTGCTTTGACCAGTGCTCAACTGATTATTCTAAAAAAATGAATTAATAAAATTTCAACACCATATCTATAAATATATCACAAAAGATCATGATGCACAAGGAATTATTAATTGCATAGAAAATACACTACATACCAATGGAGTAAGTCCATTGTCATATGATTTCTAAAAGTTTCAAAATCCACCAAATAGCACAAACAAGTGCAATGTGACAATTAAGTTAGCTCAATGTCAATTAAATTTGTGTAATGAAGCAGAAGACACCAAAAAATATGAAGCCAAGGACCATTTTTTCGGAAGCAAAAATATCCGTCTGAGCCTTTCATTCCCTCTTCTTTCTGCCACTCGTGTGTTGAGGACTTTCGGAGTTCTCCAAGGGAAATTCTCTAAACTCCATCTGGAAACAAATCTTCACTATCAGCATGCCATCACATAAGAATATGCTTTGTTCTGAATATATTACAATACACAATATATTGTGTTTGGGCTATTTAGCATTTTAATTTAGTCAAATTAGCTTGTAATGATCATCTCATCATTAACAATTTTGTGAAACCCACTTTGTTTTTTGTTTACATGAGAATCTTCACTTAAAAATTTTGTTGCTCTTTCATTGTATTGCCCCATAAATTATAATGATATATTAATAAAGTCTTCAGAATACCCTCTGTAAATCATCTAGCAATAATAATAACTGTGAAGTATGTAAATAACCTACCAATTCTATGTCATTGGGAACTCTGGACAGAAAATCTAATAGTTCATTATTTGGAATGGCATTTGGTTTCCGTAACTTCTTTGTGAACTTGTTAATACCTGGAAAAAACAGCATAAAATGATGTTTACATATGTTCCAATCTCAATTCAATTGACAAAGCACACTGTAAGCAAAATCTGTTCAGTAGATCCAAATGATTAATCACTATCGATGTTTTTAACTCTATCATCCTGTGAGGGCATAATGTTTTTCTACATTCAAATAATGTGTACAACCCACTGTAAGACTTATAATGATAATCAAATCTATGTAAAATGGCCATCTTCCATAAATCTGCCATTGTGAAAACAATATCAAAATCTCTCTCATTATTGTTTCTCTTTCTTTTATGAACCTACCCCAGGCCAGAATAATCAGCCTCAGTGGAATGTAGTAAAGAATGATGGTTGCTATAAACAGCACTATCACAGCAAAGGTGGTCAACCATGGCACAGACCAGTTAAATGTGCTGAAAGCCAGAATATGTTTGATGAATACATTTTGACCAAATGTCAAATATGAACATCTAATCAGACTTTGGTTAAATGGCAAAATGTACATGTGCTTTACTTGTCTGCATCCAGTAATAAAAAGCTTGTTTAAACAAAATTTACCTACTTAGTAAAACAAGGTAGGTATATATATATATATATATATATATATATATATATATATATATATATATATATATATATATATATATATCATGGGCTTACACATGAAATATGCATATGTATGTAACACAAACACAATTATATTCTTTAAATGCCTTACTTTTTAACCCTCTCTCCAAGTGAGGCCAGGTGATCTAGTATGTTCTGTACTGTTAGACAGTAGCCCTGGATTACATCCAACTTTTCCCTGAGACTACGATTCTCTTCCTAAAACAATCAAATTCACAGTATTAACATTTTTCTAATGGGAGCAAATGAACTAGAGGATCAGAGAGGCGATACCGCCTCCGAATATTGTACCACCAGCTGGAGCAAGCACNCGACGGCGACGACCGCGACGACAGACGCAGATGATGGCTATATGTACAGACACATCTGTGTCTGTACATAAAAAGGCCCACATTTCAGATCATGAGAAACTTGTAAAATGTAAATACTACAGTAGAAAAGAAAATGGTAGAGGAACTCAGAATCTCTATCGTAGTAATATTCTTGGTAAAAAGTTTTGAAAATTCAGTCGCGCTGTAAATGAACCTGTGCTGTATCATATGTGACCTACGAAATAGCAAAACCTACAAATTACCTTGGAAAAATATGTAAAAATTTAAAAAGAAAAATGGAAAAACATCAGTCTCTTCTACCTAAGTGCTCTGAATTTTTCATCAGCTTGAAGTCTTTCAAACACAGTGCCATGTCTTCCATCATCAACAGCATCTACTTTCTTTTCATCTTTCTCTCCATCACTGTAGACACTGCTATCACTGTAGCTGTCGTGGTCTAATACAGAGATCAGCGACTCCGTGGAGCCACTGGAATCTGAGGAATAACTACGTCTCAGTCCCGTGGGTTGTCTGCGTGATGAGGCAGTTCTCACAGTGGCAGTGATGGGGCGAGGCCTGGCACTCATCTTGTATCACAGAACTGCAAAAGTTATTCAAACTTTTAATGAAGAGATAAGTTATTTGATATTGTTATTGATTATTTTCTGACTTTCAGTTGCATTTTTGAACTGAATGAATAAATTCTCGCAATTTCATAATCAACACAAGAGAAGCTGTTAAAGCATACCTCGTATTAAACTACACTGACAATAGGAAACAATGATATTGTACTTAAGGTTTAAGCGAATCAAACAAAGGCCGCAACTTAGAAACATAATGATAACGAAACCCATTATTTTGAATTTCCTTTCGACTGCAATGAAATTGATGCTGACAACGAGGGTATAAACACGGACGAATCTACTTAAAATGATTAGTGAACGCAAAGTTTCAAAGGGTCAACATCGTAACTGTGAAAGTAGATGCAATAAATTGTGAAAACATTGTAAACAATCATACCTTTTCGCATGGAATATCACAAAAGTTAAATGATCGGAAATTTTGTTTTCATTTCGCATTTCAATATGGCGCTCTTCTCTGGTTCGGAGTAAATTGGTTATTTTGATTTGATTGGTCAAAATGCTTACATAGCAAATTAATATCATAAGAAGTACTTAATCAAAACATTTTATTTTTCGCCCATTCCAAAGTATATTGAAAATGAGTTACAATAAAGGCACAATATGATTATAGCTCATCATATTGTAATTTAGTTTACATTCAAATAATCTTGTGCGGAGCTTCAGGTAAAGATTGAAAATGGCGACTTGGCAACCCAAAGTTCGGGAACGCAGGTTATCAAAGTTTACAATGTTTTTGGGGTATATGAAGGTAAGTAGATGAACGAGCGCTGATTATCTGTCCAAGGAATGTAATATATAACCAAGTAAAGTATTTGCGATCGGAATAAAAGCTGTGTTGTTCAAAATGCAGTCCAATAATCAGAGGCGCTAAGCACCTGTCGAATTTGAAAAAAAAAAAAAAAAAATCAAGACCAAATCATTACTGGTATCGCTGTCGATATCAGTCAATGGCTCGCTGTTAGCTTTGATGCATACAAAAGGATTTTTACATAATAGGATAATTATGTTCCTATAAGAAATTATATTTTTGGCTACAAACCTGATATTTTAGTGTCGAAGTCCATCTCATTATGAGGAAAGTTCGCATTATTTCTGTAAACATTCTTCATTTACAAAAAGAAAAAGTACAGTTAAAGTATAGATGGTTCTCTACAAATTACAGACTTCTTTTCATTTCTCCGCCATGACCTGACCAAATTTGTTTTTTTTTTTTTTCCATGAAGGCATGAATAAATATGCACACAATATATGGAACTTTTTACAGTAAAAAGATAATCAGAAAGAAGAACAAATAATGTCAACCAAAGTTGAGACATCAGTAGACCCAAATGGCAATGCAACCAGCTCTGCCAAGCTGCCAGTTATCAATGGTGGGAGGAGCCTGGTGTCTCCCACACAGGCCATCAAGATGCCTATCAAGGAGCAGGCCAGGCAGTGGTTGAAGGATGTCAGGGAGAGGTGAGTATTTATGACCAGTCCTACCACATACTGAGTCTGCACACATATACATACTTTCATGTACAAGTAAGCATGAACACATGCATGTTCATACATTGGTGCACACAGACTAATACTTTACCAGTAAAATTAATTTTGACTTTTAGTCTCAACTGTATACCTTTGTGAAACCAGCTTCATGTCAAGAAATACATGTGGTGTATATTAAGAGTTACAACACTAGTCCTCATGGATAATAAGCTAAGACTACATAGGTCTCTCTACCTTAAGGTTTCCCTGGAAACTACCTCCTCTCTCCTTCTTGTCATCCTTCTGCCATTCTGCTGTCCTCCTTCATGTTTCTCTCGGTCTTAGTCTCCTTTGTTTGCCCTCCAAATGAGAGTTAGAATTACATTCGATTACAAACCCAGATGATTATTATAATAATATTGTATCAATCCAGAGTTGAGGCTTCAGAGGACCCAAACCCAGATGACTTAGTGACACTGAGGAAAGAGCTGATTGCACTGTTTATTACAGCACTCCAGCAGGACAGGTACAGTATAATATGGAGTGTATAGAAATTGAACATTACTGTAGCAAGTTTGCAGTCTTAATTGTCTTGATCCAAAGTTTACAAAATTTAATCCTCTTTCTTATAACATAACATGCAAATTATGATTTTTTTTAAAGGAAATTGTTTGTTAATTAATTTTTATTAAGAAATTCAGGTCATTTTTTAAAAATTTTGTCAAGTGAAAAAAAGATTTAGCAAGGTTATTTGAAAGTATTTTTAACAATTTATTGGGAAAAACTGTTTTTTTTTTTTTTTTGTCTAATTCTATCTGTTATGATTAATGTTGTTACACTGGTGCACTAGTGTCTTAGTCTTCATTTATTATACAAGTAAACTGTGCTGCCATATAACACTTTATAGATATAATACTTTATTTTCCAGTCGATCATCGTGGGATTTCCTGACAGAGGTAGTACAGCAGTTGACTCCATGTGCCAGTCATCTCTCAGGCTCACCAGAGGTAGGATCTGAGTCATGTAGAAAATAAAAATATTATGCACACATTTTAAAAACAGCATTTTTTAAATATTGTTATGTATAGAAGCTTGGCTATTTCCTTTTGTATCTTTTGTATCTCTTTTGTAAAGAAGTAAAGACAGTGGTTTAATTTAATTCAAATATTTGAATATCTTTCATTTCATTACGTATTATTTTCTTTATTTCATTTACATATGAAAGCAGATTTTTTCAGGAAAAAGACATTTAGAATTGAGACATCTTTTTCAGCTTATTCATTATTTGGAGAGAGCTGTACAACACATGGACACACACAAAGAAAGACTGTTTGACATACATACTGTAGATGCTCTAAATAAAGTGTTTCCAGAGGATATGATGAGAATCCAAAAGCCAGTCCGTACTTACTGTGGTCCTATCTCCCCATCTCCAACAACTTCCCCCAGGGAGTCTCCAACCAGGACAGGCCCAACTAAATCTCCAAGGATGCTGCTGCCAAATGGGAAGGATCCTTATACACTTGAACGACCTGTAAGTTACCACCATCTCTCTCTCTCTCTCTCTCTCTCTCTCTCTCTCTCTATCTCTATCTCTATCTCTCTCTCTCTCTCTCTTGGTTACAATTTTGTGCCCTCTGATGAAAAAATTCTTTTAATTAAGTTGTAACACTGTATATACAATGTATCTGTTAAGTTTTAAATATCACATTTACTTCATCTTCATTTGTCACAATTCTAGGGAGATGAGAAGAAGTACCTTCCTAAACCTCTGACCTTTGGAGATCTCAGTAAATCATTGCCCACAGTGGCAGCAGACTTGGCTTCTAGTAAGTTATTATCAAAACTAAATACTCTGTAAATGACTACACGTTTGCCACAATAAAAGATCTGATACAGAATTATTTGTAAAATGTATTTTGAATAGGCTTCTTGAATAAAGTACAGTTAACAGTCTATTTTCTGCAGTGTTGGTAGATAAAGATAGAATCAAAAGTGTTTTTATTATTTTCTTTATTAAGTGTTTGATGAAATATGTTGATAGTAGAAATGTGTTAATGAAATTAATGGTGTTGACCAGTAGTAGTAGACACATGTTATTGTAATTTATAATTTTACAGCCAGGTAATATTTATGTTTTATAATTTACAGGAGAGGCAATCTGGCAACACTCGGCTGGTTTTACTTCACAAGCAATGAATGTAGAGCTACTATCTGAGGTAAATACTTGAGTAAAATTATACCATTATATATATAGCTTTTATTTACCATTCTATTGCTTTTGCATCCTGTAAGTAAGTTATAGTCTTTATGACTAATTAATAATATAGAGTATCTGTATTAAATAACATACTAGTAGTCAACTTATAAAAATTACTACCCTTGAATAACTGGTATCAGAGAGCCATGTGGAAGATAAGATGACGCTTAACACGTTTCCCCTCATTAAATAAAGTTAAAAAAAAAAAAAAAAACCTGCCTGTTGTTTTGAGGAAATATTTTTGTCTGCTTTAAAGTTAGTGAAAAAACAGCAAATGATGTGTTCCATACTTTTAAGCAGGTGCTTATCTTGCCTTTTGAATTATTATTATTATTATTATTATTATTATTATTATTATTATTATTATTATTATAGGAGGGGAGTGATGGTATTTAGTTCTCTTTGCTTGTATCTCATTTGTAACAGTTAAGTTCATAAATGTTAATATTCAGTATATTTGATTACAGGAGGAGTTGAAGGGCAGTGGAGTCAGCAGCAGAGGAAGCAGTAGGCCGCCATCAGAGGTAGCTGACTTACAAAAACTTGGAGAAGAAATCAAGATTACAGTAGAAACTGAAAAGGTAAATCACAGGATCATTGCCTGTATGAGTATGTACTTTTATACTTGAGATTGTTAGTGTACTCATATTCTCAAAACATATATACTGGTACTAGGCTGGGGATGGTAACTGAAGGGAAAATATTGTTATGTTAACAAGGCGAACTGTGTAATGGTCAAAAGAACGAATCTTAAAATACAATCTATTATTTATAGAAAAACAATGTAAAAGAAACAGTAGAATTTCCACTAGTCCCACTGGACTGGTGACTTTATTTTGAAATTAAATTTTGTAGGTAAGAGTTATCCAACATGGCAGACTACTAGTACGTACAATAACATTCATCTGAATAAAATTTTAATTTTTCTTTCTTCTTCCCCCCTTCCCCCCCCCCCCCCCAGGGTCAACCGCCCCCTCCCATGACAGGCAGAGAAGCAGTGGAATATTTTGGCAAACTTTATCACGTAGGGAAGATAAAGCACATGTACTTTAACATTGCCCCTCACAGACACTTCAGACCCTATGATCTAGTGGCTGTACCCCAGAATAAGGTACAGTATTCATTGATTAATACAGTCTATATTACTGTGGTTTTTTTTCTTATAAATAATTGTAGTGAATTGCTTGATTCTCGTTTATTTAAAATATTATCATAAGGTTGTGTGAACTAAGAAAGATATTTTTACCTGTTGGCAGCCTATAGATTATTTATAAAATCTGATGATGGAAATGTATAAAAGCTTTACCTTTTTGTAATATTATACTTTTCATTTTGATTTAAAATTTTTTAATTTGTATATGATCTGAATTTATTTGATAATTCAAATCAACTTTCTGTCCTTACACCTATACAGTGTATTTTAAGAAATCCATGCTATTGATACATGTTATTAAGATAGTCTCACTGCCTGCACTTCAGGCTAATCCAGAGCACTATGTATTCTCCACATTTGGAGTACTCCATGTGTACCCAGACCAGCCATCAGAGAACATGACCCTGGGAGAGTGGCACAGGGAGGCTGTGTTGTATGCTGCTGTCAGAAGTATTCCTTTCTTTAAGTACTTCCTGGTACGCAAGGCATTAAGATGGTAAGTCCACAGTATTTTTATCAGAAACACTGTCCACAGTATATGGAGAAGAAAAAGATGAATGAGACAGTCTGGGTGGCTTTGATTAATGTTACTACGTAGTCTCAGAAGCATTGTCATGATTTCTAGCTAGAGATCTCATTTTACTGTGAAATTTTGCACAACATCGCTTCATGGCACAGCTATCACATTTCTAGTCAACATGTACTTCAGTAGATTCACCCATTTTATAAAAAAAGTTTACATTGAAGCTAGGACAATAATAGAAGAAAGTCAAATATCATGAGTTAAAGTTCCATGATTTCACATTCAGAGAGTTGGAATTTGAGCAAATGAATCCTCAGTGGACATTTTGCAGAATGTATTTTTCTTTGCTTTTAGCTGGCATGCCACCAAGAAACAGACAGACTTTGCTGAGGTCCGTGACGTCATCAAAAACACCTTGTTACCTAACGTCCCATGTTTTGGTGCCGCGCTGCTGCAGATTGCAAAGTGAGTGCATGGTTCTGTAGGGGTAGAACTGACACTGATTCAAAGATATTACTCTAACTTGGTGTTTCAAAATCTACTCAGTATATTTCAGGTCGCTTCTGATGCATACCCATTTACTGTTCATTCACACAAAGATTTGTTTTTTGATGTATTTTAGTTGAACTAGTCAAATTGATATCCTATGCCGCATGAACATGATTTTTGTTGGTGAAAAATAATTTAGATTTGTAGCACACAACTGTGAATCTGCTCATTGTAGACTGTGCTTTGAATTTTTCAACCCATTGGTCTCTTTCACAAATAAGCCCAGAAAACCGCTAGTCTGAGTCAAACTTTTTTCAATAATAAGGTTTTGTTTTTAACTAATCATGACTTGAAATCTATAGATAATGGAAATGTTATAAAAGAAAAACAAAATACTTTCACTTGTCCAAGTAACAAACTAGTAACTTTGAAAAGTGAACATTGCTCTTACTTTTTTTGACCCATAATCTACTTGTCAGCTGCCTCAGACTTGTTGAACTGAAGTTCACAATTTGTAACCTCCTTTTGAATATTTTGAAGTGAACAATGTTTTATTCTCTTTTCTTTCAGATTACTACATGAGTTGCTGACAGTGCAGTTCTTACCAGATGAACAGGAGTATGTACTTTTTTACCTGGAAATTTTATTTTTATAATTAATACGAATGTTTATTTTTATTTTTTAATTATTGTCATAAAAATATTTCTTTTTTTAATCATTTTTTTAAGGTGACATATACCATGCTCATTTTAAATCATTTTCAATATGTGATAAAAACAATTTTACATTTACTTTTTTTCAGTAAGCGCTACCTTCTACCAGAGTTTGAAAACATTGTCAACTACAAGAACATCCAAGCAGAGAGATTTCTGGAAAGGTTCTTTAGGTAAGATAGTTAAAAAGAAAGTAATGTACAAATAAAGTATAAGTATAAAATTGACTGTATAACAGCTAGTTCTTTAGGTTTCTTTTTTCTTTTTACTCATAATACTTTTTAAAAGGAAAAGTGTTGGTGAATTTCAAAGGAAAAAACACATTAGTTAACCAGTACTTAATAACTTAACCCTCACGCCTGAAGAGTCACAGCGCCATCATCTTCAAATCTACATATCCATTTCCTAAAACACAGATTTTAATGTTCTGTTCTAGATATGGTAAACTGATAGTGGACACCGTGAAAGAAGATTGCTTCAAACGTCTGAGATACTGTGAGGAACAAGTCAAACATAAAACTGTTTTGTAAGTGGCATTAGCATCATGGTCATATGTAACAGATTTTATTATTTCCCCAGTTTGGAGTAGAACTACAGTATTGTGAAATTTAAATCATTAATACTCACTTTACCCTCAGATTAGCACTCAAGTCTTCATTGTAAAAAGAAAAAGAAAATAAAAACAAAAACATTTTATACCATATGTATTTTTCAGCACCAAGGACTCTCTCCATCTGCAGAAGCAGAAAAAAGAACAGCGAGAAGCAAACCTCAGGAAAGCAAAAGAAGAAACAGGGTTGGTGTAGAAATTTTAAACCATGAAACAATTAAATTAAATTTTTTTATTACCAGTAAAATTACAACCCAATTTAGGGTCATTTTTACAAATCATAGATTTATATATTCAACTAAGGATACGTGGAATCCATCATGGAATATATCCAGTTATTGAACCAGTTAAAACATTTCTTGTTGCTGTGATTGAATGATAACCATTACCTTTATTTTCAGTTGCCTTGGCAACTTTGTCAGACTAGTTGACCAGGTGATGCTAGCCTACTTGGTGGACCTTGCCAAGAGAAATGTCAGTGTGTTTGTCTACAATGTCATGGGAGCAGGACGAGATGCACCACGGGAGGGGTTGTTCTTAGCTCATCTAGGATTCAACAATAAAGGTATGATATGTATGTTGTTACTCTAGTATCAGGAAGGATATTGATTTAGGCTCTTTTCCCATAGATTTTAGATCGATCTATCCCCATGGGGAGTCTCACTAGATTACTTTCAGATAATCCGAATTAAATGTCCGTCCCGCCTACTACAAGCTGTAAGAGGGGTAATTAACTTTCGTGTCCGCCCGACTGACAGCTATTTAGCGTGAACCCCCAGGGAGTTAGGTCGATCTAAAGTAGGTCGATCTAATCTATGGAAATGGGGTGTTAGAAGCTCTAACATTTCAGCACACATACATGCATGCACACACACAAGCAGCCACTTCAGATATTATTTGACATTTAAGTGCTCAATAAAAAAAAAAAAAATCTTAACAGAAGTAGAATTCCATATTTTCACCCTAAGTTTTCATATGCTTTATATTCTTTAAGTGCCAAGTTTTTATGAAAAAAAAGTAGTAATCTTTTTGAAAAAATTAATTTTTTAAAGCTTTTCATTTGATTTTAACCTATTTATAAACCAGATGTCCTTGGCATCTCCCCATCAAAGGAGAAATTCCTGCGTGGCATGACGCGTGTCCTGCAGGAAATCCCAGGCATCCTTGTCATGAAGGCGCTACCAATGGATGAGAACCCTACAATCACAGATGGAGAGAGCATGATGGATGACTCAGCAACGGCACGGACCAGGATGTCTCAGGTGACGGCGACATCTGAGAAGAGACTGAGGACACAAGATGGAAGGACACCAGAACTGAACAGAGGAAGTGAGTAGAGGGAAATTGTGGCTACACTCACCCTCTTATATCTTATACTTAATAAAAAATTAAATAATAATAATATATACTTCTTGTGTAGCACATTATATTGATTTTAACTTTACAGAGGAAGTGAGTAAATGGAAACTGTGGCTGCAGTCTTAATAATAATAATAATAATAATAATAATAATAATAATAATAATAATAATAATAATAATATCTTTTTTTTTTTTTTTGTGTGTGTGTGTGTGTGTGTGTGTGTGTGTGTGTGTGTGTGTGTGTGTGTGTGTGTGTGTGTGTGTGTGTGTAGCCCAGTATCTTGTTTACAACTTTACAGTTCACTTCACTTTACTGTTTCCCGTATATGCACATTTTTTAAATATTACCCTTTTATTAGTATCATTATCTACTAGCATGAGTGCTGGCAGTACTCATAGTCTTAGTCCTGACCTAAGGGCTCTACATCATGTCAGTGGATCAAGGCACTGTACGCTCCTCTTAGACTACAAAGACCTGTATCCTCATCTCTTGTCATCTTACTGTTCTTTAAGTTTATCATATCTGTGCACAACCATCATCATCTTCATAGTTTATTATTTATTTTTCAGAAACTCCCACTAAAGAAGAAGACAACCTGGGGGTGGCCACTCCAGACTTGGTGATCAAAGCAGACTTCCCGTCAGCTGAGGGTCTGGTGGTGGAGGGGGAGGGCTTCATGGGCCAGTACCACCCCCTGAGTAAGGGGAACCTGGAGGAGAAACTGAAGAATGAGTAAGTACCACCCCCTGAGTAAGGGAAACCTAGGGGAGAAACTGAAGAATGAGTAAGTACCACCCCCTGAGTAAGGGGAACCTGGAGGAGAAACTGAAGAATGAGTAAGTACCACCCCCTGAGTAAGGGGAACCTGGAGGAGAAACTGAAGAATGAGTAAGTTAAGGTGCCTTTTTTTGATGAGAGAATGAGAGAGAGAGAGAGAGAGAGAGAGAGAGAGAGAGAGAGAGAGAGAGAGNACGTGTGGGGAGGGAGATGGGAGAGGGAAGGGAGAGGAGAGAAGGGGGGGGGGAGAGAGAGAGAGAGAGGTTGAGGAGGGGAGAAATCTGTGCTGTATTGATGAATAAACAAGTTGAACCATGTTATGTATATAGAACCACTATTTAATGTATACAGTGACACATCAGCAGTATGTAGGAACAAAATAGATGCAATCAGTTGATTTTTATCACTCATCATTCCAGTGAGGAGTACAACCGTGCTATAAAGACCCACACAGACTTCCTGATAGCTGGGCTAACAGAGATAGATGACTACTGCAAGGAGAATAGCTGGCTAAATGAGATCCACCAGTTTTGTAAAGGCTGGAATGACACCTCTCTACAGGAGTGGAAAGGAGCACCTGCCTTTAACATTGAGGTGAGTAAGATTGGATGTGAAAGAAAATGCACTTCACAGCAGTAGCATATAGAGTATTAGACACTCGCAAAGAGGCTGACAGTGATTACATATTATTCACTCACGTTAGCACAGAATAATGTTATAAATTAATCTGTGTTACCATTTTTCATATGAATGGGTTATCTCATATAATTCATATGATATTTACGTAAAAATTACAGCATAAAATTCAGTTTTGAATGGCTGTAATTAATTTAAACTGACAGTTTCCATGGCATGCTGTAATATTTCTCTGCCTTCTTATTCATTTCAGCAAAGACTGACAGAGATCAGAAGCTGGACAGAAAGAATCAAGATGTCTGACCGTGCTTTCACAACTGAGAATGGCATTTTCCATGTGGACTGCTCGGCCCTGCAGAAAGATCTCGTCCCCAAGCTGAACTCCATCTACAAAGAACTGGTGACATTTGTGGCTGAGGAAGCCAGCAACAGAGGCAAACAGTTCTGTAATGAAATGAAAGTGGTGCTGCAGGTATGATCTTGAAAGTGAAAGTGGTGCTTTCAGTATAACTTTGAAAATGAAAGTGGTGCGGCAGGTATGATCTTGAAAGTGAAAGTGGTGCTTTCATCATTGCTTTGAAAATGAAAGTGGTGCTTTCAGTATGGCTTTGAATATGAAAGTGGTGCTTTTAGTATGACTTTGAAAATGAAAGTGGTGCTTTTTTTTAAACTCATTCTATAATTAGCATAGATCTAATGGTTTGACAATATATAATTTGTCCATAAGGATTGAAAGTGATGCAAAAAGTGTTGCTTAGTATCCCTATGTATATCTTTAAAAGTGAAAATGGTTTTGTTGGTTTAAAAAATTGAAGGGTATAGAAAAAACAAATGTGTTAGTTTGTGGGAAAGAATTAAAATGAAGTGAGAGTAATATTTCTGATGAGTAAGTGAAGTTATTCAGTTTATATCAAATTTTTTCTCAATGTTTTCTCTCCAGAATATGCGTGACAAGAAGGTCAGTATGGATGCCTTTGCTGTGTACGCCAAGCAGATAACTCAGTACAAGAAGAACTCACAGCAATTCCAGCAGAGAGTAGAGTATATCAAGTCTCTGTTTGAGGTAATGAAAGCTCTGATTATGCTCAAGATTTATGGTAAAATTAATTTTTGAAGCTGAAGAAGTGAAAATATGATTTTATAAATGTGTTTTGGAATTGAAACTTATTTTCAGAAGTAAACTAGTTATTTAACATTAGTACTAAGTATTATACTAACCTTTTCATTTGTTATTATCAAAATTCCAGTATTCAGTATGGAGGAAATACCTGTTAACTGCATGATCACTAAAAATTATTGAACAGTTTTTTTGTTAATAAATTGTGAGATTTAGCTAATAGTACTAACAGGTATGAATGGGACTTAATACTTAAATGAGACTTAATACATAGACCACTAATCTGCCATGACTAGACGGCTAATTCCCCCACCACTAATCACCTGGTGTGCTTTCTGTCTCTTAGATGCAGGAAATTAAGGTATAGGGAGGATTTAGTTGTTTTCTTTTTCTCTCTGAATTTTTAACAGTTTCTTTCATTACTGTTGCATTTAGATAGTAGAATTATTGGAAATTCTGGCAGTGTGTTTTCTTTCTTCTACTGCATTCTGTCTTAGGCTGAATTGTTTCTTTTTATTTGAAAATGGAATTCTTGGGAAAATTCAGCAGTGTGCAGTTTTTATTTTGATATTCAATTTCTTTTTCCTTTTTTCTTCCACAAAACTATATGGTTCTTTAATCTACCAAATTTTCTTTACAATTTGAAGTCACAAAAACCGTTTGCAAATGATCAATGTTACAGTGTATACTTGTTGCTGTATGTGTGAGATTATAGCTGACTTTTTAGTCTCAACATTACCATAAGCTTCCTCCAGTGTGTAAACTGCTGATATCATAGAAATGAAGTACAGTGTAACAGCTTGTGTGGCAGTGTGGAAGTAGTGTCATTAGTGTTTTTCTTTATTGTTTGCATTGAGTGCATGTCATTGCTTGGTTTATTGTCTGCTTGTTCATCCACTTGCCAATTTGAATATTAATTTTATAATCCAAACTTGATTCTTAGACTAATACATTATTTGCATATAAAAACACATTTCTCATTCATTGACAACCAAAAATTGTGACCAGTTCATAGTCAACAGGTTTATACAAACGTTTTTTGTTTTTTTTTTCAATATAGGCTAAATCAGGATTTTTCATGGTGGTTTTCCCACACCCCTGGTTGTAAGCAAGGGCAGATCCAGATATATTTCTGACAATCTTCCAAATTATCTTTGTTGACCCATTCTCCATTTTTGACCATCTTCCAACCGAAAAAATTAGATGGCTATCAATTTAAACTTAAAAAAATTCTGTCCATTTTCTGCTCCTGGCAAGGCCACCAAGCCATTTTTTCTCATAAAAAAACCATGTCTGTGATGAGCACCATAATCTGTAGAGTTGTCCGTCTTCCAGATGGTGCGTATGAACTACCGCCAGCTGAACCCAGAGGAGGAGAAGATTGAGGAGAATGTCTGGGCTGCGTGGGAGGCGTTTCTGTTCAACATGCAGGAGGCCACGGAGTTTGTGAACATGCAGACCCCTCTCATGACACAGAATCTGGAAGAGACTTTCCAGGTATGTTATATGATGCATGTGTGTGTATGTGTATGCGTGTGTGTGTGTGTGTGTGTGTGTGTGTGTGTGTGTGTGTGTGTGTGTGTGTGTGTGTGTGTGTGTGTGTGTGTGTGTGTGTGTGTGTGTGTGTGTTTTAAGAAATTAAAAAACGTGACATTATATGACAAGCAACATTTGATGATAAACAAGATATTTTGCTTTCCCTATTGATTTGTAAAGTTCATATTCAGCTAATCTTTGAAAAATATAATAATTTATATACTGTTGGTGTAATATCACTACAATAAATATATTAAGAATTGTATTAAGAATATTAAGAATATATTAAGAATTGTTTGATTTGTGGTTCACATATAGTTTATAAGTAGAAGTGTATCATACCAATATTAGTATCCAATGTGACTTGTTTATTCCTGTCAGCCAATGAGTTATGAGGTGATTGCTGAGGTAATGAAGGACCTGATAGTTTATTTCACCTCTTATTTATTGATAAAACACAAACACACCCGAGGCGCAATTCCAAGTGCCTTACCATTCATGTTTTATTTATTTTTATTATTATTGTTTTTATTTTTATTTATTTATTTTTGTGCCAGGAAAATCTGCAAAGATACATTTTCGGCCAAACATTCCCCTGTGTTCATTTTTTTTATTTATTTATTTTTTTTTTACGTAACATAAATTTTATTCACTACACTGTGTTAGTGAATAGTTTCTATATTGTCTTGATTGTCTTGCACATATTACCCACATTTGCTTCCTTTAATCAATAAATTCATCATTCACCAAGACATATATTTAATTTACATGTTGTAATCTTATTTCATCTTTTCTGATTTTTTTCCAAATTATTTTTACCTTGATTCAGATAATTTTCTATTTCACTTGCTATTTTATAATCTCTGTCTTTTTATAACCTTTATGGTGAATTGTCTAAATTCCTGTTAGTTGATAAAATCTCTCAGTCTTTGTGATTTATTTTACCTCTCTTCCTTCTTGTGTTTCGTAAACTTTCTTACAGGCCTCAAAGCACACATTGTTGGAGACGGAGGGGCTGCTGAGGGTAACATGCATGCGAGGGCATGTGCATGTGCATGCAGACTTTATCATGTACTTCATATATAATGTTTGCTTTATTTCTCTTAAATTATTTCTCATTGCCCTGGATTTGATTGGGATAAATCCCCATCCATTTTATTTTGGTCTTTTGACTTTTTCATTACCGGAATGGCTATAAAATCATATCCTCCAAACTTTTTAAAATGTGATTATATATGGTAGTTATTAATCTATAGCTTTAAATTAGTATTTGTAATCTTTGTAGTTAATTATATGAAAGTAACAATTTTATGCAGAGCAGATGAATGACAGACTGGTGTATATTTATACACTGTGACATTTATACTGTACACATACTTTTTTCATTTGAATATTTAATATACAACTAAGCTTGCAGTTAGAATTTAGAATGAAACTTCTTATTAACCAAACAAGGCACTAAGTTTAGCATGTTATAAAGATATAGTCCTGCAGATTATAACAAAAAGGCTGTTATGTTGCTATTGCTCCCCTCCCCCCCCCCCCCCGCCCCCTCTGTAAAAGACTTTCCAGTATCAAGCCAATAGACTAATTCAAATTCTACAGTAAAGAAAAAAATTGATGTTGGAGTCATAATTATTTAGTTTTTTTTTTATTAATTTTTTTAAATTGCTTCTCTGGTATGAGATTTCTCATTATGAGTTAACATGCAGTGACTGTTATTTGCAGATTAAATCAGCAATTATATGATATAATATAATTACATAATTTTGAATTCATGGAATCATTACAATTTCCCTTCCTTTGATTGGGACTTCTGTTCCTCCTACAAGTGCCTGATATTTATTATAAAAAGTGAGTTTGAATATTTTTTTCCATTTTTCAATTTTTTTAGCAACTTGAGAAGGAAGCGTATCATTTAGTGGAAGTTGGGACCACAGGGAAGTTTCTCAGTCCAGAAGAGAACCCTTCAGCCATGTTGTCTGAAATGAGACAGGTAATGATGTGTGTGACATAACGTCATGTTCTGCTTTCTAGAGATCAGCATGCAGTGTCCTCTCTCTGAGTACTGACTACTGACTTCTACCTTTATTTCTATCTTTATATACCTTCACATATATAATTACATTACATTGGCTTCCCAGCCAGGTGGGTTGCCAGAGTGGTCACTTTAATTCAATTACACATGCGATAGGGAAGACTTCCAGACTGAGCACTAAATGGCTTCTATTAGTGGACAATAGGTTGATAACTTAAACTGATTGATCAAGGTGTATAATATAGTTACAAGGCAGAGGACCATTCCTAAATACATTTGAGGTGGATGTATTTGTTAATCAAAGATATGGCTTCTTTTTTAATTGAGTAACCTCATGTGACTTAGAACAGACTTCTTTAAACTTGACCTGTAAACTGATTATATAAGTATACATCCTAAAAACATTTAACCCGCACATCTATATAATTCAGGACACATATTTATATATTACAACCTTATAAACTTCTGGAAATTAGACTGAATGTAATGGAATTGATCATATTTATAGTTGCTATTTCAATGAAAAGTTGAGAAAACCGAAAATTCATTTAAGGCATTAAATTACAAGTATGACATGTGTATCCACTGATGTGGTTTGATACCAAATGTGACAGTGAGAACAATATTGTGAAAAAGCCATTATTATTTTTATAATTATATTTTGATGACAAGATTCTATAATAATATGTATCTTACTGAGTAGATGTGAGATGGAATATGAATGTGAGACGTGAGATGGAATATTTTACCAAAACGTTAATCAATGTCATTTTGATATTTACTTAAAATTGAATTTAAGATTATCACAACCCAAAAATCCTAAAAGATGCATTCATATAGATATATTATTTTTTTATATAAGGAGTGCAGTTATATAAATTAAAAAAGTCATTGTTATATTCTGGTCTTATTTGAAACTTCGATGGATAGGATTCTGCTATTTCTTTTCATGGTTATAATTTCACCGACAACATCCGATGATAACTGTCATTTAGAATATAGATGGCGCTCATGTTGCATGGTAATTCAGTTCTTCTCTGTAGGAATATCTACATACAATATGTGACCAAGTCATATGCTGTTATAGTTCATCCCATTTTTCCCAAGGTGATATTAATTAAAATCTGAAGATCCGCCATAAAAATCCATGAGAATTCTTTCCTCTAACTTTGTCCTGTGCCTTCACTTCATGGTGTCAGTAATAACCTGGTTATCCTCTGGATCTTAGAGCCTCACTTCACTGCTGGGATGGCTGGGTTTTCTTTCTTTAAAATAATACATATTAAGTATATTTAATTGAATAAATTTTTTTTCAAAAATTCTACAGAATTATGCTGTGGTCTCAGCACCTGAAGGAGGGGACAATTGACGCAAGGCATCCATTTTTTTTCCTCAGAACTTGACATGTTGCCAAGCCCATACTAGGAAGAATAAAATTGTTGTTAAGATTGTTGTCAAGATAGGTAATGTGAGAATACAAATAGACAGTGAAAATTTGAACTTTTTTTTTGTTACATGAAATTTTGGCCATCATTATGCTTTGATGTACATGATTGAGTTGAAAACAAGTTAAAGAATTGACCAACAAATTATTGAGATTTTTATTAAGACTGGTACTTGTATAGGAAATAGCGCCTACAGTGTATGACAATTTATAGGATGTCCTCAGTTTGCAACATGAGCTGCTGAGAGATTTATATGTTATAAACCCCCCTCAGTGGTGCCCTCTAGTAGCAGTCTGCCAAACTCTTGATATGTCAGCGACCAAGTAATAAATGTTGACCTACCTTCTACATAGTGAAGACAACAGTGAGGCTGTTTGCTAGGACTGAAAAAAAAGGAATAGCTCAGAATATATGGTTTAAAAATAGATTTTTAATTAGTTTCAGATTAGTTACTCTAGCTATGTTTATGTTTATTTTAATTTATTTGTCTCCATCATGCACAAAATAACATCATGATGAACATGCTGGTTAAAACATAAACATAGCCTCAAAGTCTTGAAAAAAAAGGGAGTAGGAACACAGAAAAGAGAGAGAGAGAAAAAAAAGCCTCCAAAATGTTCCACTTTGAAAATACCCCCCATTTGTACATGTACTTCTGTGTGAACATATCATTGAGACTAAGCAGCAGGCCCAGTCTTAACAGCGTCACNCTACTGAGTACGTATGCGTCGGAGACACCGACCCGCGAACGGCGAGATGAGGACGCATTCGCGCGTAAAGCTCCGCCCGACTTTAACGGTAAAGGCAACGAACTTGGGCGCGGAAGACACTTATCGCAGATGAAGGCTACCTGCACGTGTGCCATAGACACTGATCGGCTGTCGTCTCAGTTTCAGTGCACGGAAAGGAGCAACGGTAACACTAAGCTTCCATAGTAAAGGTTATCTGGCCGTGGCAGACGCTAATCGTCGGCCGTCTCTCCCTCCGTCCACTCCCTTTCTGAGCGCCAGGATCGTTTTTGAAAAACGACACTAGTTTCTGGCTGCCAGAATCGATTTTGAAAAACGACACTACTGATAACGATGCTGTTTTGCGGCCTTAAACAACAGCACCGCTCTATCAATGGGCCATACACAGTGATCGGGTGAAAATACGTGTATACCTTTGGTCGCAATTACCGACACTCACACAATCATACATTATGGTAACTCTAAATAGATCGTCGGGAGAAGATAACAGAAGGCCTAGCGACGAACAGACAACTTCTGGTCAAAATTGACAGAATTCCATGAAATTCGAACTTTCGGAAGTTCTGAGCACCTCCTTTTCATGAATTTCGGCCAGAACGATCTTTTCCCAAATTTAATTATTTTCTACTGTTCGAAATTCATGGCACATTACCGTACTTTTTCATTTGAATATTTAATATACAACTAAGCTTGCAGTTAGGCTGTAGAATGAAACTTGTTATTAACCAAACAAGGCACCAAGTTGAGCATGTTATAAAGATATAGTCCTGCAGATTATAACAAAAAGGCTGTTTTTTTGTTGCTATTGCCCCCCTCCCCCCCGCCCCCTCTGCAAAAGAATTTCCAATATCAAGCCAATAGACTAATTCAAATTCTACAGTAAAGAAAAAAAATCGATATTGGATTCATAATTATTTTGTTTTTTTTTCTTAATTTTTTTTAATTGCTTCTCTGGTATGAGATTTCTCATTATGAGTTAACATGCAGTGACTGTTATTTGCAGATTAAATCAGCAATTATATGATATAATATAATTACATAATTTTGAATTCATGGAATCATTACAATTTCCCTTCCTTTGATTGGGACTTCTGTTCCTCCTACAAGTGCCTGATATTTATTATAAAAAGCGATATTGAATATTTTTTTCCATTTTTCAATTTTTTTAGCAACTTGAGAAGGAAGCGTATCATTTAGTGGAAGTTGGGACCACAGGGAAGTTTCTCAGTCCAGAAGAGAACCCTTCAGCCATGTTGTCTGAAATGAGACAGGTAATGATGTGTGTGACATAACGTCATGTTCTGCTTTCTAGAGATCAGCATGCAGTGTCCTCTCTCTGAGTACTGACTACTGACTTCTACCTTTATTTCTATCTTTATATACCTTCACATATATAATTACATTACATTGGCTTCCCAGCCAGGTGGGTTGCCAGAGTGGTCACTTTTATTCAATTACACATGCGATAGGGAAGACTTCCAGACTGAGCACTAAATGGCTTCTACTAGTGGACAATAGGTTGATAACTTAAACTGATTGATCAAGGTGTATAATATAGTTACAAGGCAGAGGACCATTCCTAAATACCTTTGAGGTGTATGTATTTGTTAATCAAAGATATGGCTTCTTGTTTAATTGAGTTACCTCGTGTGACTTAGAAAAGACTTCTTTAAACTTGACCTGTAAACTGATTATATAAGTATACATCCTAAAAACATTTAACCCGCACATCTATATAATTCAGGACACATATTGTTATATAACAACCTTATAAACTTCTGGAAATTAGACTGAATGTAATGGAATTGATCATATTTATAGTTGCTATTTCAATGAAAAGTTGAGAAAACCGAAAATTCATTTAAGGCATTAAATTACAAGTATGACATGTGTATCCACTGATGTGGTTTGATACCAAATGTGAGAGTGAGAACAATATTGTGAAAAAGCCATTATTATTTTTATAATTATATTTTGATGACAAGATTCTATAATAATATGTATCTTACTGAGTAGATGTGAGATGGAATATGAATGTGAGACGTGAGATGGAATATTTTACCAAAATGTTAATCAGTGTCATTTTGATATTTACTTAAAATTGAATTTAAGATTATCACAACCCAAATATCCTAAAAGATGCATTCATATAGATATATTATTTTTTTATATAAGGAGTGCAGTTACATAAATTAAAAAAGTCATTGTTATATTCTGGTCTTATTTGAAACTTCGATGGATAGGATTCTGCTATTTCTTTTCATGGTTATAATTTCACCGACAACATCCGATGATAACTGTCATTTAGAATGTAGATGGTGCTCATGTTGCGTGGTAATTCAATTCTTCTCTGTAGGAATATCTACATACAATATGTGACCAAGTCATATGCTGTTATAATTCATTCCATTTTTTTCCAATGTGATATTAATTAAAATCTGAAGATCCACCATAAAAATCCATGAGAATTCTTTCCTCTAACTTTGTCCTGTGCCTTCACTTCATGGTGTCAGTAGTAACCTGGTTATCCTTGGGATCTTAGAGCCTCACTTCACTGCTGGGATGGCTGGGTTTTCTTTCTTAAAAATAATACATATTAAGTATATTTAATTGAATAATTTTTTTAAAAAAAATTCTACAGAATTGCAGTTACATTGTGCTGGTGGTCTCAGCACCTGAAGGAGGGGACAATTGACACAAGACATCTAATTTTTTTCCTCAGAACTTGACATGTTGCCAAGCCCATACTAGGAAGAATAAAATTGTTGTTAAGATTGTTGTCAAGATAGGTAATGTGAGAATACAAATAGACAGTGAAAATTTGAGCTTTTTTTTGTGACATGAAATTTTGGCCATCATTATGCTCTTGTGTACATGGTTGAGTTGAAAACAACTTAAAGAAATGGCCAACAAATTATTCAGATTTTTATTAAGACTGGTACATGTATAGGAAATAGTGCCTGCAGTGTATGACATTTTAGGATGTCCCCCTTTGCAACATGAGCTGCTGGGAGATTTACATGTTATAAACCCCTCTCAGTGGTGCCCTCTAGTAGCAGTCTCCCAAACTCTAGATACGTCAGAGACCAAGTAATAAATGTTGACTTACCTTCTACATAGTGAAGACAACAGTGAGGCTGTTTGCTAGGACTGAAAAAAAAAAGAATAGCTCAGAATATATGGTTTAAAAATAGATTTTTAATTAGTTTCAGATTAGTTACTCTAGCTATGTTTATGTTTATTTTAATTTATTTGTCTCCATCATGCACAAAATAACATCATGATGGACATGCTGGTTAAAACATAAACATAGCCTCAAAGTCTTGAAAAAAAAGGGAGTAGGAACACAGAAAAGAGAGAGAGAGAAAAAAAAGCCTCCAAAATGTTCCACTTTGAAAATACCCCCCATTTGTACATGTACTTCTGTGTGAACATATCATTGAGACTAAGCAGCAGGCCCAGTCTTAACAGCGTTACGGTGACCCAATCTCAGCAGGGTCACGGTGCCCCATCTGAGCAGGGTCATGGTGACCCAATCTCAGCAGGGTCACAGTGACCCAATCTGAGCAGGGTCATGGTGACCCAATCTCAGCAGGGTCAAGGTGACCCAATCTGAGCAGGGTCATGGTGACCCAATCTCAGCAGGGTCACGGTGACCCAATCTGAGCAGGGTCATGGTGACCCAATCTCAGCAGGGTCACGGTGACCCAATCTGAGCAGGGTCATGGTGACCCAATCTCAGCAGGGTCAAGGTGACCCAATCTGAGCATGGTCACAGCGCCCTTAGTTGTTTTTCAGTGGATGCATGCTATATATCTATTAAACCACTGCTATGTAGCAGGTAGAACACATGACTCAGCTGTACTTTCTATCACATACAGCAAGTCATGTGCTAATGCGTTCCATGCAATGCTTCACCCTTATTCCAATTACTTCAGCTTGGGGCCCAGTCTCTATATATCAAAATCTAGCTCTCCTCCTGAACCTTGCAAAAATAAATACCATTTATCAAAACTATTAAATGTAAATCATTAATCTGCTCCATTTCTTTTTATTAATGGGACCTTCAATAAATGTAGCTGTCATCGGCCAAATTTCGAACATCATACTTGAGTTTGTTCCAGTCTTTTAACTGGCATGTCCTGTTACTTAAATCAGCTTAGAACAAGGAGAAATAAAAAACCTGTAGTTTAGTAATTTTTTTTAAATTCAGTCTTGGGAAGAAGTATCCACTGAAACTTCACAGCATGCTAAAATGAAAATCACTGGTATATTGTCTCACCTGCAGCTTGGCAATACACTTGTTATATTCATGCACAGCTAGGTGACTCATCATCATAACTACATATCACATAATTGCCTCAAGCCTGGCTAGCACAAGATTGACATAGTTATGTAAGCTGATGATATTTTCATGTCAGTAATTGGAGCAAAGGGAAAAAACATGAACACATTTTAGTTTGATCACAGAGATAGTAAAAGGCAGATGAAAGGTACCATTATGGAGGAGATAGCCACTGTATATAGGACTGAGGGTTTATTTGTTCTGTTTTTACTGCAGTCTAGGTGGCTTATATCATTAGACTGCAGGCATGCAGAAAGTCATTAAAATTCTTGATATCAGGGACAGTCTTCTCCATGCTACTGACACTATCTATACCAATCACAACAGTTCACTTGAAATATTTCATAGTCAGCTAAAATGAAAAAGAAGAAAAACAAGCTCGTATCTAGATTTATTGGTTGGGGGTAGGTAAACATGAACTACACACAGCCAGGCTACTGTGTAAAAAAAGTATAAAGATGTTTTAAAAGATACTTGTGGGAAAAACGTGCAATGACCCTAATATATGAGTCACATCATAGTAAGTCAATAAGTACTAGTATATAAAAATTAATATTTTATTAACAGCCCTTATTTGTTATGAAACAGGCTTGAGTATCTCTCTTCAGTTCTCCATTGATGACAAGATGCTACATGTCAATATAGCTTCTGACTTCCACTTCTGTTATTACCATGAGATTATGACTGAAAAAAAAAAAGTAATTGTTTTGTTTTACCAGCATAGATTGTAAGTTTGCTTGTATTTGTTTTTGTTCCAAAATATCTTTCTGTCCTATAATAATAACAATGTTCAGAACAGTGAAACAAGAAGTGTTGCACGTATCACCAGGGTGGAGGGACTTGTTGACATGGCAGATTGCAATCTTCTTCATCTCGTCTCTGAGCTGTGGACTGTTTGGACAAGATGGGATGACACAGAGAAGACTGCAATCGAGGGTGTGCCCTCCAAGGTCTACTCTGATATGGAGGCTTTGTGATGACGTTAATCCAGAGAAATGAAGAATTAGGCAGAGATGTATCTTTGAATATTTAGTGAAAAAACTTCATCTGGGGTGGTACATGTAGAGGGTGATATAAGCCAGTGTCTGTGATAAAAACTGGTGATAAAAGCTGGTGTTTTGAACTACAATCAGTTGAAGTGCAGTTAAATTAAAGAACAACATTGCTTATTCATTAAGGGGCGGATTCAGGATTATTTGATGGGGGAGTCCGCAGATGTAAAGCCATTAGACGCGGGGTTCAGGCCTGAAAATGTTTGATATTTTAGAGGGTGAACGATGCCATTTTTTACGGTTTAGAACTGTGATTCAGCTAGTCAAAATTCTAATTTCAACATGTTACCATTGGTGTATTTTTTTTTTCTTTTTAGAAACTGCAGGGGTCGGGGGGGGGGGGGGGCGGTCAGGATCCTCCTGACACCCCCCTAAATCTGACACTGAAATGTTTCAGACTATTCTTAATACAAACTTTAAATAGACAGCTAGGTGGTGGCCTTGAGCTAAAGAAGACCACTTTTAGTCTAGACATTCAGAACAATTTTCCAACTAATTTAAAAGCACTTTTGTGAAACTAAAACAAGAACCTTTCACACCTCTTTCAACATACATGTAGCTTGGTTTATGAATGATACGAAAGAAATGAGAAATGATTTTGAATGAATTAAAAACAAAAAAACAATGTTTTAAAAATTCTGTTTTTTTTTTTATTCTAAGTCAAGTAGAGGGCAGTGACACGAGGCAATTTTGATGATATGTTATCTGGAGTTCACATCTCTGATGGCAGAATTAATGATAGAGTGGCAGAAATAAACCCTCTCTTCCTGTGCTCTGGTGCATGATATTTACATCTGAATCTGCCCTTAATGACTTACAGGGTGGAAAAAATTAATATTGATGCATTTTTCATGTTTATTTAATTTCAATCTGAACCTATCCAAATAGACTTCTAGGTTAAGTTGTGACATTACGGTGACAAAAACAAACAAACAAACAAACAAACAAACAAACAAACAAACAAAAACAAACAAACAAATAAAAAAATTATATAATAATCACTAGCTTCAAAAATTTCTTCTGTGACTGGCAATTTTCTAACTCTGTTCATTCATCACTAAAACTAAACAATACCAATAAATGCATATAATTTTAGAACAATGTTTCTCTCTTAACTCATCATTATCCTAATGGAGACCAGTATGTGCAGTCTTTCATTTTTCATTTTAGATGATTTTTCCGTGATGTCAGAATGATGATGTGTGTCACTGAGAGATGGCTTCAGGCATTTTAAGACAATTCAGATGTGATTAAGACAAGACATGTACCCCTCCCACAAAAAATAATAAGAAATAAATTTAAAAAAAAAAAAACCCTACCTTTAGATATAATGACAGCTTCCTTATTCCTCCTTTTAGATTAAGATTAAAAAGTCTTATGAACAATGATGCACTCAAGCTCACTTAGAAGTAGAGGTGGTGGGTGAGCTTGGGTTAGGGGACGTTTTGGAGCAGAATGGAAAAACTAGTGATTAAAAAGTGCTTTTTGCCCTTAACCCTCTGTTTTAGAAAGTACAGAGTGCCGTGAACCACATAACAAAAGTCTGGCTACATGTAGTTAATATCCTAGTTTACAACACTGCAATTTTTTCCACATTTAAACAAGGTGGACTTAATGTACTTAAACATGTAAAACAGCACAATTGCATTGTTCATCTGTACATGTAAACAGGTTGTAAGACCAGAGCTGTATCACTGTGTTCTAAGAATAGACTTTCATGTTTATTCCATAAGAAATTTAAACAACAAGGAATCAAGTTCTTTCCTTTTCTAAGAATGTTTTGTTGGCAATACTCTTACAAATTATTTAAAAGTTTTGAAAAGTTATTTGGATTCATGCTGGAAAAATACATTTTGTGAGTGCTTAAGGATGATAATTCTTGTATAAGTGCATGTAAAAGTAAACATTTAAACAATTCAAGTAATTGTCATAAGCTACAGTTGTCACTACCTTGAGTTGTGGAAAAAAAAGCATTTAATAGATAAAAAAAGTCCTTTAAGTTTTTTAACCTAACCTAAAAGCAATTTTTTTTAAGTTCAAAGTATCAAAAAGACAACTTACTTCCAATTGCCATGGCAACCAGAGTTGCTATGGTTACAATAATCATCTTTCTGGAAAAGTTGTGAATTAAGGCTGGGTCGGTAGGATGAGCTGAGGGTCCTCTTCTCCTGCAGATGTCTTGACCACTGGTAGTCTAGATACAGTAACAGTGACTTCTTGTTGGAGACTTTTATCTTCAAAATTGAGGGTTACAAGGGGTAGGTCTGTCCCCCAGTTCACAAGTCATTTCCTTGTTTTAGTTGACTAGGATTTCCATGAGAGTGCTGTTACACTGCTCCTGATAGGGTAAGACTTGCCATGTGACCATGTTATGGTGGTAATTAAATTTTTAGCCAGGGAACCTGCTGACTTAATTTATTTATTTATTTATTTGTTTGTTTGTTTTTTATTTATTTATTTATTTATTTATTTATTTATTTATTTATTTATTTATTTTGTATGTGTGTAGACCCTTAGGCCTGCTGTAGATTCCTAATAATGACATTTACTGAGCATGAAATTGTAGAATTGGTGTATTTGTTAGCTTGATCTCTACAATACATGTACATTTGGCATATTATAGTAATAATAGTGGTGATATTAATAGTTGTAATACACAGATGGCTTGAGATCTGAATTGTTTTAGAAGAGAGTGGTGGAGATTGGCCATCTGTCATGTTAGAGGGTGCCACAGGGGGTGGTCATCCAGTGTACATCCTTAGGGTGCTTTCCCAGAGATTTAGATCGGTCTAAAGATTAAGTTTTAGATCGACCTAACTCCCTGGGGGTTCAGGCTAAATTGCAGTCAGCCGAGCGGACACCATAGTTAAATACCCCCTTACAGCTTTTAGTAGGCAGGACAGACGCTTAAGCCGGCCAAGCTGACAGTAATCTAGTGAGACTCCCCACAGGGATAGATCGATCTAAAAATCTATGGAAATGGGGTGTTAGTCATTCAATCTATTTTTGGTTCCAGCACAATTTTACCAACTTGCCATGACCTAAGAATGATTTAGTGCAATACATCTGTTAAACTTGAATTACTGTCTTTGAAGCCATTACACTCAAAATCTTTTTTAAGACTTTTCTGAAAGTTGATTGATTGAGCTGACCCATTTCTGAAGTAGCTCCTGTGTGAAGTGTCATGCCTGAGAGAAGGGAGAAGTGTAACTTGAGGAATGTCATGGCCCCAACCATTGCCTAGATATTTAAGTGAGGGTTTGAGAAATAGTGCATGTTTGTGCCAACTGACAGATAAATTTCACTGATTGCCTGATGATGAATTATCATAGCTTTCCACCTGAGAGGGCAGTAACTGTTCTACTTCTTGAAGCATAAATTATAACCATTGTTTTAATGGGAGGATGTAGCCTTTGATGTTTTTGATAAATTGACCTTGCAGCTAGTGCACTGAGTTTTATTTATAAACTCATGAAATATGCTAAGTCAATATATGTATATATTTATATTGATATGTACCTATAGATATTATGCAGCTTTCACTTACATGTATGCTTACTCATTTTCATTCACATAATTCATCAATTGTTCTAAATATGGAGTCATGGCAATATATTTCATTATTTTCTGTATAAGAATATGATATAATAAGACTAAATGATAAAGTTGTTTTCTTTTTGGTGTACCAATAAATATTTCATTTTGCTTGATGTTACCAGGTATTTTACATCTGGTTTGAATTCCAAAAGCTTAGATCAGAAGAAATAATACTGAAGTTGAATAAAATTCTTCCATCTTTACCAGTCCTCCCTGCTAATGAAGTGTTGGTATATTTCAGCTGCGAGGGAAGTTCTACACAGTGGAACACAAGTTAAAGGAGTGTTGCAAGTGGAAGGAGATGATCACGGGAAACCCCTACAACCTGGACTTCCTTCATAAACTGGCCATCAAGATGGACATACGCCAGGAGCTGTGGAAATATGTGGAGTTGTCCAATCACTCCATCATCGACTGGAAGCAGCAGCTCTTCAGGAAGGTGAGGAGAATTGATACGTTGGGTGTTGGGGAATTATCACTTATTTTGTTTTGTATTTTTGTCAATTTAGCACTGATTTTGTGAGTAATTTGTCACTTGTATATTGTCTGAAATAAATGAATGAAATGTAAGCACAGCACCAGATTTATCTTTAAAAGTTAATTTTTTTTAAAAATATGAAGTGTTACAGTATTGCTCACCAGATAAATGCCCAGATGGTCTTTAAAAAATCAAGGGAAAAATGGAGACATATTTCAATGCCATATACATATATTATTATTATTATTATTATTATTATTATTATTATTATTATTATTATTATTATCTCAACCAGATGAATGTCCAGAAGGCATTTGACAAGGTCCAGGAGTGGCAGGGGATAGCATTCCAGATGAAGAGTCACCTTCCTCTGGGAGACAAGGTGCTTGCCAACTGGTTCAAGGTACTACAGGACTTCAAACAAGACCTCCCCTTGCTGCATAAACTGGCCAGTGATGCCTTGAAAGTAAGTAGCGATATCTTCCTGGGCATGATAAGCAGTCTGCACCTTGATTTATAAGTTACCACAGAAAAATCCAGGTGTATTAAAGTTTGATCAAACTCAATTGGCTACTGACAAACCAACAAGCCATTTTATAATGTTTAGTCTGAGCTCTAAATGTTCTGGCCTATGAAACTTAGTGGCCACTGAAAATTGCTCTTCCATTTGTGACTTAAATGAAATCTTTAAATTAAGGAAACTTTATGTTTAAAAATGCTTACATTTCAATTAGTTTAAGCTGAGGAAAAAAAAATCCAATATTTTTCTAATCACCAGCTAATCTCCTATTCAATTGTCTAATGGCTAATATCCCTGACTGACTGAATGTTTTTAAACTCAGACATAAAATTGCTTATAAAATTTTATTCAATTACTGAGGTGAAAAGAGTTCACATCTAAATCCCTGTATTTCCTTAGCCTCGCCACTGGAAAGAAATCTTTGTTGGTATTGGTGAGGAGTACGAGCCAGGCTGGAACGTGACCGTTGCGGAACTTTTAGACCTGAACCTGGGCGAGCACAGCCTCCTTATCAACACCATCTACACGGGCGCCAAGTCTGAGTTTGCTCTGGAACAAAAACTGGTCAAACTGAGGAAACTTTGGCAGGAGAAGAACCTGAAGCTGGCCAAGCATATCCCTGATAGTGTGTATGATAAAGGTGAGGATACTGGACTCTGTGTGTGTGTGTGTGTGTGTGTGTGTGTGTGTGTTGGGTTATTGTGGTAGAAGATCTGAATTGATGTACAGTTGTTTTGTATGTGGCATGTGTGGAATTTGTTGTTGTTTTTGTCTGGTATCTGTTGTTGTATTAGTGGGAGTGTTCCAAAAGTCGTGTGTATGTATGTGTGTGTTTATGTATGTGTGTGTGTGTGTGTGTGTGTGTGTGTGTGCATGTGTTGTGTGTGTGTGTGTACATGTGTGTGTGTGTATGTGTGTGTGTGTACATATGGTTAGGGATTGAGATGGTATTTAGTAGTAAAATATATATAATGTTGTTATTGTATGTAGCATGTCAGGAATTTGTTGTTTTTGTTGAAGTTGTTGACATTCTTGTCTGGTATGTGTTATTGTTGTTGTTGTTGTTGTTTGACCTCAGAAGAAATCTGTAAATAATGGATACAAAATCTAAGGCAACCATCAAATGTCTTCTCCTTGTCTGTTATTGGACTTGTTAAACTTTGAATATAATATATTATTTAATATGTTACTAGACACCACTTCTACTAAACTGTCTTTTTACCTCAGACTGGCAGCCATAGTTGCCTACTGTTAGTAAATGAGTTATATTAAGCTCTGTTAGTATATTTCCAGACACAGCGGGCGTGGCTCCCAGTGCTCACCCAGGGGGGAGGAAGGTGAAGGGGATGGCCAAGTTCAGACATGAGAAAGCCCTGGCCAACATGCCGAAGGGACTGAATATCTCTGGAGATGACATGTTTGTACTTATTGATGTGGAGGAGCTGAAGTACCTCATAGATGTAAGTATATTAGTTGTTATATCCCTGATTTTACATTATAGACACATGGAATGCAATTTATAATTTAATGCATCAGTTGAAAAGGAAATGTAAGAAAGATCACAACTTTTTTGAAAGCCTTTCCTTATGGAAGTCTCGTTTTCCTCTAGTCATAGCCTTTTAGCTGGTGTTTGAAGGAACATTCTTTGTTACTACAATTAACTATGATCAACTTGTCCCTCCAGGACAGCCAGGTCACCCTGACCTCCATGCTGGTGTCCCCTTACCTGGCTGACCTCCGTCCAGAGACTGAGTACTGGTCAAGCTCGCTACAGCAGGCTGAGGAGATCCTGGACCTCTGGGTCACATGTCAGAAGAAGGTCAGTACTAGGCACTGTGAGTGAGGCTGGCTGTGTTGGTGTATACAGTAGTACTAGTTCTGGTTATATGTACAAGTACAAGGCATGATTCACATACCCTGTACATAGTATGGTGAATATGTGTGTGTGTGTGTGTGTGTGTGTGTGTGTGTGTGTGTGTGTGTGTGTGTGTGTGTGTGTGTGTGTGTGTGTGTGTGTGTGTGTGTGTGTGTGTGTGTGTGTGTGTGTGTGTGGTATATGAGTATGTGTGTACATGCATGTGTATGTTCATGTGTATATGCATGTGTGTGTGTGTGTGTGTGTGTGTATGTGTGCGTGTGTGTGTGTGTATGTGTGTGTTGTGTGCCAGATACACCTGGTCTGAATCTTCTGCCTTGTACATTGGCCATGTTCTGAGGTTTTTCTACTCCTGTAGAATGGAATATATGATTAACTTTCGCCAACTGATAGAATTTATAAATTGTTAATTTTGTTTTTATTTGATTTGTTTATTAGGATAAAGAAAATGAAAAAGTTGCATTTTTAGCATTTTTTGATCCACAAAATTTGGTTTTGCACTAGTCCTTTTAAAGTAGGTATTTTGTGAGTTAACATTTTTACTGTTTTATACAGTATTTTTGTTAAGTCTTTGGCCATCTTTTGATTTGTCAATCAATTTTTGGAAAAGGCAGAGAAATGAAAAATGATAAAGGCCAGGAATAGTAAACATTATTTTTTATTATTCTTTCTTATTTGTTTCAGTGGCTCTATCTGTTGAAAGTATTTGAAGATCCAGACATATACAGAAAACTTGGGTCCCAAAGTCTAAAGTTTGAGTCCATCAATGCTAAATACAAGGTAATATTAGAATAAGAATCTTTCTTGAAAGAAATTGAGTGAACATGTACAGTACAGAGTGTCTTTAAGAGTAGGATGTTAAGTTAAAGTTAGAATTAGTAGTAAATTGCGTTTGTTACATACATTTTAAACTTATACCTGTCACTTATTTGTAGAACCCTTGTTTGATTGAGAAATGAGTTAAATAATTTGCATGTTGTATTTCAGGAATTTATCAAGTCTGTAGTAAATGACCCCAAGGTGACCTCCATCTTCAGCAAGCAGCGTGGAGAGCCAGGATACAGAAGACTACAGGGAGAGGCCATCAGAGAGTTACTGCAGAGTCTACTGGAGGGAATGGTCAGTTTGCCCTAGTAAACTTAAACTTTAGATTTAATATGAGAATAATAATAATAATAGTATGGATACAGAACTTGACTACAGGGAATTGCCATCAGAGAGTTCAACGTTTAAAGGCAAACATTAAATTTGATGAGAAACGATTCCTTCAAAGATATTGTTTGATGTCTGATGTTTATAATAATGGTTTTGATAAGGCAGACCTTAAATTTTGGATTCAATAAGTCTACGTTTGTGACATACCTTGGGTAAGTCTTATGAACTGTTGGTCTTTTTTTTTCATTTCTTAATACAAATGTAGAAACCAATTTTTAAGATTTGCCTGCTTGAATTGAAAATATGCATATTTCATTTGTTTTTATCATACTTCTTTCCAGGAACAAATCCAGAAGCACCTAGAAAACCTCCTGGAGCATGCCAGGTCAGAGTTCCCCAGGCTTTATTTTCTCAGTAATCAGGAAGTGGTGGATCTGATGGGCATCAGCCGTAACCCTCCTGCTCTGCTGCCGTGTGCCAAGAAATGTTTTGCAGGAATCAAGTCGCTGACATTTGCTCTTCCGTCCCAGATGACCACCATGAGTACCGCCCTGGACTTCGTTCTCAACGGTGAGTAACGTGTAATATCAGGCCTGCTGTAAATTTGCAGCGAATTTGCTGCAATATTGCTGCAAACTACAATTCCTTCTTGCAAATTTGCAGCAAATTTGCTGCAATATGGCTGCAAATTAGCAGCAATAAAGTTTTTCTTGATAACTCCTGCAAATTCTTTGCTGCAAACTTTTCCATTTTGCTAGGGGGAGTCCAACAACTTTTTTTGTCCAGGAGTACCACTCTTGATTTTGTACTCAACAATTAGTAATGTGTAAGGATGAAATGGACAAATATAAAGATGAATGATGATAAGTAAAGAAATAGATACAAAGATGTGTATAATAAATATGAGCTTATATATAAGATTGTCTGTTTCTTTCTCTATACAGCCCATAAGCTACAAGTGACCAGTCTCACTGGAGATATGGAGGAAGCTGTGCCGCTGTTGTACAAACTGGAAGCCAATAATCTGGCCACCAGATGGCTCTCAGGTCTAGAGGAAGGCATGAAGAGCACCATGGCCACCATGTTACAGGCGTGTGTACAAGCACGCTGGGAGGAAGGTGAGAGTTATACCAGGAATATATACTGATGTTAAACAAGACATACACTTTGTCACATGGACAGCACGTAAATGCATTTGTATGTTTTCTCAGTTTTAAATAGAGAAAATAAAACAAAGAATCAGGGCATACTTAGTAGTTACCAATATGCCCACATGACAGCCACTTAAAGTAATTTGTCAACCTGGCTGCAATTTTTTAAAAGTAGTTTTATTATTGTTTCCTTTTGTTGTAATATGGGCCTGAAGCTAAAATAACATTACATTAATTTTTCTTTACTATATTTGAATTATTTAGACTATTGCATAAAGACTATAAATTATGTGTTTATCTGCTTATGCTGAAATTGTTAGATGTACAGTTACCTAGATAAAAGTGAATACAAAATAATCTGTAACCAAAGGTAGCTATTTTTGTGATAAAAAAGGTATCTGTTTTCGTACATTACTGTTCATCAAAAAAATCAATTTGTCTGTCGTATTTCCAGGCTCCAAACAGAGTGTCCTCCTTCTGGAGGAACTGAGCCGATATGAGGTGAGCACTGCACACCCCACCCAGGAACAGACCCAACTCAGCCAGCAGATTCGCCACTCCTTTAAACACTGGCTCCTGCGCTTCCCGTCCCAGTGCGTGCTGGTCGCCGAGGCCATTATGTGGCAGAAAGCCATGACCAAGGCCCTCGAGCACGGAGATAAAGATCAGTTGACGGAGATAAGGTAATGGTTATAACCACTGACGCCAAGTTTTTTTTTTTTTTTTAATTAAAAAAAAATTGCAGTGAGTTATTTTGTGTTTGCAGTCAGTTTGGGTTGACCTAACTTGGCTCCCACTATCTCATTGTATGCTTGTGATTACTTCACTGTATGGTGATCGAAATCCAATCCTGCTCTTGTCCTGCATATATGACTTAAGCCACCTGCCATGACACTGACTTCTTATGGTGAGCTGATCATAAACGGACAGAATACCAGTTGGTTTAAATTACATGGACTTGACAAACTTGCCTAGAAACTTTACTTGCTTACTGGTTTGATGGCATTATTTGGTCGAATGACTGCATTTTAACCAAAATGAAACTCCGTGGTTCAAAGTACAAAAAGGTGATATAGATAAGAAGACTGCCGTTTACATTAACTGGTCATCACCCTCACTGCTCCAGAGAACACACTGATGATGGTGAATTATAGCAATTTAACAGTTGTTTTATTCCATACAGATAAGATGACCAGATAACTGCTTTAGAAAAGGACACCAAACATCTAATTTCATTCTTAGTAGACATGTACTTTAGCTGACTGATAATATTATGTTTTTTTTCTGCTGAATTAATTTTTTTCCCATCTGAAACTCTGTGATAAATAGAACAAAAATTTAGGTAAGACCACTATTAGATGGTCTGGTAGATATGGTAGCTCCACCTTTGTAATTTGTAATTTGTAAAAAATAAAATGACAGTGTGTTTCAGATTTAATGACCAGCTATGGTTTGTTAGATAACACACAGGCTGACTTTCTGTGTCCTGCATTTAAGATGTAACTGGTGATACATGAAAAACTTCCTTGTTCCTTCCAACTTCCGTGAAGAATGAGTAATTAATACACTTCTAGAATCCTTTGTTTTATTATTATTTTTTTTAATAAATTCATTTGCCAACTATTATTATATATTTACACAATTTCAGAGTCCATTACTGTCTCAAAATATGTGTGTTTGTGTTTCATAATGGACATCCGTTATTTAAAGTGATGTTATTTATTGATATAACCAGGAATCAACAGAACAGTAAGATTACGCAGTATGTGAACTTCCTGAGGGAGAGCAGTGTGAAGGGCGGAGGCTCCAGTGTACGCAAGAGACTGCAGAGACTTCTGGGATGTCTGGTTCAACAAACAACGCAACACAGGGATTATGTTGAAGGTGAGAGAAAACTATTTATGTGCATGGCATGTCAATGTTCAGTATCCAGTTTATTTTTCATTTTGATGGTTTCTATAAATTAAATTTAAAACTTGTGTACTCTTTGTGCTATCTTTGACAATGAATTTCTAATTAAAATTTTTGTTAATTTATGTACATATTTCGCTTATTAGTTTATCAATTTATTTTATTTTATTTTTTTAATTGTGCATATATAAAACAATTAAATTTGCTAAATTTAGATTTTATTATTTGTGTCTACTCAGTTCTGTTAAAGCTGGGTTCGCCCACACTGGACAGCTATGACTGGCAGAAGATCATGAAGTTTCACATGGACTTCCGCAGTGTTCTCAGAGCTAAGACAGATATAAAGGAGCAGCCAAAACCTGAGGTCTCTTCCAGCACCCCCAGAGAAAGACGTCTGTCCCATGGCAGCAGTCGAGACTCGTTACTGTCCAAGTCTGACGCCTCGCCCAAGGAGAGAAGGGCTTCATTGGCCAGGTTGAAGGAGAAGAAGTCTGGTAGGAAAATTGGAAGTGATGTTTGAAATATGGTTAATGCTTCTTTTACATTAATATGTATCTTTGGTGTATATATGGTATGCAGTTATTAAGGGTCAGTTTCTACCCTTATTTTTAGCACAGTTTATCGGTAGGTTACAATCCTTCTTGTAAAATGCTGTTCTTTAGCCAACAGATTTTTACGAATTCTTCCTGAAATATTTCCTTATCTTCTACTCCAGAGGATAGCATGGCCCGCGTGAAGACCAGCGTATCTACGGGGTTCCAGTTCACACCCTGCACCATACAACAACTGGGCGCAACCTTCCTCTACGATCATGAGTATCTTGGACCCTCTGAAAGACTCGTGTTTACGCCACTGACTGAAAGGGCCTATCTGACCTTGACCTTGGCCTTGAGGACGTTCCACTGTGGTACTCTGGTGGGACCAGCTGCCACTGGGAAGTCTGAGACTATCAAAGACTTGGCTAAGGTACAGATAATGCTGGGTTGGTTATTCTGACATTTTTTACCAGCCAAGCACAGATTATGTTGTTTTGAAAAAATATATATTAAAAACTAATGAGAGACTTGTTTCCTTTAATCAGTGGCAAATTATGTATTATTATTGAATAATAATAATAATAATAATAATAATAATAATAATAATGAAAGAAATTGATTATTATGAAAAAAATTATTATTAGTTCATTGAGCATAGAACAGCATACTTTCTCTATTACAATTGCTTGCTTTCATAAATACACATTTGGCAAATAAAATACAACAATACGTAGTACAAATCATTATAATTTTCAAAATTTTACAAATATTGTAACAGTTTACATCTTGTTTTTCCCTGTCAATTCAGACCCTGGGCCGTCACTGTGTGACTGTGAACTGTAACAGTGAGCTGACGCTGCCTCTGCTGAACCAGTATCTGAGTGGTATGGTCCAGTCTGGTAGCTGGACAGTGTTTGATGACACAGACAGACTGACCAAAGGTAAGTGGAAAGGATATAGACACATCAAATTTGAATCTATTTGGAATTACATATTAAGTTTGTACTTTGCCTGTAAGTGTCACTGAGTTGTACAGTGAAATTTTAAAAATAATTTTTGATTATAGTGTATAAGATAGTGTTCTCCAAAATATTCATGGTAATGTGTAATTTTATTATTTGTCGAAACATAAAGTGTTCTAGATCTAATGCAACCTGACATTCCTGGTATTATTATTGCAAGGAGGAAGTTAGCAGCAGCTCAGACACCATTAATTTTTTTTTTTTTTTTTTTTTTTTTTGCCAATGTCCCTTTTTCATGGCAAAATATAAGGATAAGATAAGTGAGCAGAAACTCAGTTTTTTAATTAAGGGGTGCAGAGTTACTTTCCCTGATTTCAGGTTTGATGTCAGTATTTGCCCAACAGATCGAGTATCTGAAGACTGCTCTCCACTGCCTGGGTACCTCCAGTCATAACCAATATGGCATTAGAGGACAACCCAGATATGACAAGGTAATTAAGGGCTTGGAGGAGGGGGGGGGGAGAGAGAGAGCTGTGAATAGGATGATAAAGATAAAATTTTGGTTGAACCCTAGCCTCTGTCACAAGATAATCTGGTTTTACAGTTTACAACTGGTCTTTATTGGTCTGTTCAATCCTGAATTAATCCTATCTCCCTGGAAGAGAAAGAGAGAGAGAGTGTGTGTGTGTGTGTGTGTTTGTGTGTGTGTGTGAGAGAGAGAGAGAGAGAGAGAGAGAGACTTCTAACTGTAAAGGGGGATAATTATTGCATTGCATGTATAAAGCATGCCTCTGTTGTTGCACTGCTTATGTTTACAAAATATTTTAGTGTAACAAAGAATTTTATGCTATTATTAAAGCATGTGTTTTGCATTAACATTAATTTTGTAGTTACTGTAATATCTTTTTTAAGTTTTTAATTTTATAACTTTCTGTTGTTTGAAGATATTAGTGTGTAACTTATATTATATTACATTAGTACTTTTTTCTGAATAAGTTCTTTGAATTCTAGTCTTTTATCTAAGTTAAAGTCCGGAGAGCACTTTCTCTAATACTACTAACATTATATCTAGATAACTTGCATGGATTGAATTACTGATAAATCTTTACTTACTTGTCACTAAGTTCACATTTTCCTTCTTTTATTTCACATCTTATTTCTTATTTTCACAATGCTTTGGTTTTATTAGTTTGGAGTGAAAATTTTCTATGATAAGAACTCTAGAGGCACGCGGAGAAAGTATAGACTATATCTACAGGTAATGTATTCTGGGACCCTTTCTTGCTCGTAAATTTTAGGCAAATTTTTCATGAAGCAAAATATAAAATAATAAATGTAGTATAAGTCATTGGCTAATTGGAAGTTACTGCACTAGATGGTATTCATGTATTTTAATGACAGCGCCAATGATACTATTATATTGTATTAGCAACTGCAGCAGCTGTCACAGCTTCACTTACTATTGCTTTTAAAGAGCTTAGATGAAATGTAGACCTGTAGTAGATGTTTCTTTAATCTTTTGAAAACCCTTTGTCCTCAAATTTTTACACTGACCTTTATGATTTGTGCTGTGCCGTATCCCAAATTAAATGTAATATGATGCACCTACAAACAATCTTTCAAATAAATTGTCCAAAGGAAAAATAATCAAATTTGATCAAAACAAGTTACCAATGTCCATTTATTGTTATTTTTAATTGAATTTATTTATTATTATTTGATACTGTGCATTACTAACCTGTTTCTAGTGCAGTGCTTAACCTGACATTAGGATGATAACAGTCCAGTTGCTTTATACTACCTGCTAACACTTTATGTTTTGCCACTGCTGCTGAAATCAGCTTTGAGTTTGTCCTTCCTAATATAATTGGCTCTTATGTTTACAACACCAATTTCTTCATCTCTTGGATACTAATGATACTTAGAGTAAAAACTGTTTCATTATTTCTGTTCATTACAGTTGTTTATCTTGTTTTCCTCTAATTAATTATACAAAATTATAAGACTGAGAGATACCCTGTATTTTTAAAAAATAGTCTAAATATTATAATAGAATTAAATACATCATTCTGTTGATGCCACGCTATGGTCAGTTGACATTTATTTGTTTATTATTATTTATTATGTCATCTGTTTATTCTTTTATTTATTTTTGTGACAAAAGAATGTAGGATACTATTAATTTTATAATAGGTCACATTAAAATTCATAGTTTAAATGAAACTCTATTAAGGCAGTTTCCACTGTTAACCATGCTGTGAAGATCACAGTAGTTTAATGTTCCACCACCAGGTGGAGGTCCAGTCAACAGCCTAACATACTGGTTACTTTTATAACTTGGAATACTTGCCAGGAGAACTTTTTCACTTTACCACAAGCTAATTTCTCATGCCTTCATGTTGTGATTTTTCTTCTGTGTTATGAAATTTTCAGAAAACATTTGTGAACAAGGAGGAGGGCTCCAGCAGCGTGACACATGGCGGCCGCGTGGTGAGGCGGAACTCACTGACCACCTTGCATTCATTACCCAGTGCAGACACTAAGGAGGACCTAGAGAGACAGAATACGGTGCCACATGGATATAATGTAAGTCACTGTGGGATATGATCAATATGGTTAATTGAATTAGAAGTGACAATTTGTCCGTAAAAATATCTATTTCAAATTCATAGCTTCTTGTGATATTATGTTTAAATTGCCAGTGAAGAAAATGAACAAAGTTTAACTGTCTTCTCAATCTATCATTTATTTTTCTTTCTTTGTATATCAGACAAATATTAGATATACTTTTGTTTTCTCCTTTTTTCATTCCTCTTTCAATTTTACAAGTTTTATTTCAGGTCATCAATAATAGAAATATCATTGCATGTTATTCTTACAATTGCATGTACACTGTATATTGTTTAAATTTAGATGGTCATTTCAATGTTTTACTTAGTAATTGGACATAAACGTATTTTGCTCAATCTATTAAACAGTAAAAGTAAAACCATTTCATTGAAGTGACCATTTAATAACAAGACAAAATATAGACAAGTACAATATTGCATGTTTATTGATAATAAATAACTTACTGTGGTCATACTCTTACTTCAGGAGGTAGCCTATGTTTTCAGAGTTCCAGTAGGACTGATGGTATAGTTGTAAAACACTGACTTCACTGTAGTGGTTTGATGACTGATTACCTTCTGATTGGTACACCCTGGGGTTCTGGCTACCTTCAGTGACTCTCCTCTATACAGTATATTAGACTGGGTTCCCATACTTAGATTGATCCATCTGGATCAACCTAACTCCCTGGAGGTTCTCGCTTAATCGCTATCAGCTCACATGTCTGCTACGCCTACCGAATCAGCTAGGGGGTAAAGATAACTACCCCCTAACAGCTTTACTAGATGTAACAGACATTTATGCTAGTTAAGTCGATAGCAATTTAGTGAGACTTCGCAGGGAGATAGATCGATCCAAATATGTGTGGGAATGGTCCCATAGTGAGGCAGTATACTGGGTGGGGGAGAGGCATTGCTAGCCCTCTGAGCCTCAGGGAGTGGACGGTTGGCACTGTTCTTACATTGCATGAAAAGATTTGTGTGGAGTCTGATTGACTTTTTTTCCAGTTTACACATCATGTTTTTTGTCTTCTTCCATAATTGCATGCATTTTTATTGCAGTGGAGGTTTTAAAGGTTTGGCACATGGTTTGAGAGTGCAATAAACAAATAACTTTATTGGTCCTGTTTTTATGCACAAAGTTAAAAAAATACTGATATATGTCAGTTCTTTAAGTACTGGTGGCTGATAATGGAAGTGATGTGTTTGAATTACAGGTAGAATAGCAAAATTATGACTCACAATAATAATTGTTAGTTAATAACAAGAGGCAATACAGATTTTTTTCTAAAAATAACTGAACTTTTATTGTAATTTTTTTTTTTTTTACATAATTGTAAATTTCTAATAGAATGCTACATTGGAACATGTATAGACTAAGGGTTAGAAAGCACATGACAACACACTACATAATTATACAGTAGAAAGAACAGAATGTAACTTAAAGCACTTTTAAAACTTAGAAATCAATGGCAGTGTAGATCGCTTCCATTGTTTAATACTGGTAGATGTAGGTGTATTCAGCACTGTAACATGTGGCTCCAATAGACAGTGTATATCCATTATCATAGTCACTATAAATACCACTTCACAAGACCTGTGAAAGAGTGACTTTAATTTAAAACATTTGTCTTGCTTGGTGCTTTGTTGCTACTATCATCTAAACAGGTAAAACCATTTTTGATGTAAATTTTTGATACAAGTGGAAGTCCTTGATGATGTGTTAATTCAACATTCTGAAACTTTCAAAAATGTATGTTCAGCCTGTGTTGGAAATGGCTTTCATTTGCTACAATTTATTGAAACTTTGAAACTCAAAGCTTAAGCATGATGTTTCAGCTTACAAAAAGCCTGTTGTGTTTGTGTAAACTTTTAAAATTATCAGTGTTCTTCCCTCTTTTCTATTATAGAGAACTTTTAAAGAATACTATAAAACAAGTGTCAGGTTAAGTAAAAACAGTCAGTTCTAGACTTGTACATATATGTGACTGTGTATCATACTAAGAAGTTTTCTGGATCATTTACCTAATATCTAAAGAACCTCATTAAAGGTTGCCTAGATTATTCGGCATTTTCAAATAGTATAGCATAAATACATCCAGGTTTTTGTTTGCCCTTTGATATGATGTATTTCTACTGAAATAAACATTATAGGCACAAATTTTAAGACAAGGTATCAATTTTAAGACAAAAGTGTGTATTCCTGTACAGTTCAGAACTGATTTGCATTTCGATAATAATTAAATTCCTTGCAACTTGTATAGAAAAAAAAAGATCACCCAACATCACCCATATTCCATCCTGACATTACCTTATACATATCAAAACCCAAACAAATATAAGAACGTATAAACATTTGTTTTGTTTTTTTCTAAGAGTTCTTATACTTTTATTCCCCCAGGATGAGGGTCTGTCTACCTATTTTGGTGAGGCCTGGGTGCCAAGGAGGGAGAGGAGACACTCCATAGAGAAAGAGATTGAGATCAAGGAGTCTGAATTATACAAGAGCAACAAACCACCATCACTGTTTGTTGGTAAGACTTAAGGGACTGGTTGATAAGTTATGGTTTTGGTTTTGTTTCGATATTAAATATATGGCAAAGAATGTGTAACTTTTTACAGTTCTAGGAAAGTTTAGTCTAGATTAAAAACTTAAGGATGTTAAGTGAGATTCAGTGTTTTATTCATTGACAAATAGTTCACAGCTGTCATCAATCACTATGTAAAAAAAAAAAATTAATTAATTCAATATGGCAGCCAAATTCAAAATGGTTATATGAAAGTAATAGAGAAAGAGAAAGCACATGCACAGGAGCTCTCTTTTCTTTGAGTGCTCAGTGATGTCATTTACAATACTGATTTAGCTCAGTTTTGATGACTTACCAACTTATTTTGTTTACATATATACTTCCCAATGTTCCAGAACATGCCACATACCGTCCATACAAACCCAAGCCAGACTACAAGGTGCTGCTTCATGAGCCAGTGCACAGGCCAGTGTTTCTGGGGAATGTGTTATTCAATGGGAAACTGCTCAAAGCCAATGCCAATTATGGCTGCTTCATGACTGTCAACTCTGAAGGAAAGGGGTTTGCTGAAATTCCTGATAATTTAAGGGTAAGATGATACATTTACATGAATACATTTTTCATTAATATATACCTTGTGTTTTTCAAATAACATTATCAGAAACCTAACACTTAAAATGAGTGTGAGCATGAAATGAATTATTTTCCTGATCAGCTCCAGATGCGTCCGTGTGCCCTGATCCACCCCGACACTCACCAGATACTGGAGATGATGCTGTACTGCAATGGCTGCTCAGACCACAAGATCTTGGCCAAGAAACTTGGGGTGCTTTTTGAATTATTGAAGACACAGGTGAGACTACGTATCACACCCATGTATACACACACACACACACACACACACACACACACACACACACACACTTTCATATATTCTGTTATAAGAGTAGGTTAAATGTGGTCATTTAAAAATTGATGTTTTACATTTTGTTTTTTTTACTGATATGTCATCATTTGAACATGTGTATTCTGTGTACTGGACATGATTGACCTAAACAGTAATGATATGTTAAAAATAAAAAGGTATAACATGTAGAAGGTTGAAGGTTTTAGTGAGTTTTCAGTTACATAATTAAATCAAATGGTTAAGTATCACTAATAATTTTAGAAATTTATAAAGTATTTAATTTGCAAATGTTTGGAAATTATATTATCCAGCTTCCAAGAAAAGAGCAGTACAACTTCAGTCTAAGAACAATGAAAACAGTTGTCACTGTGGCTCACAGCAGACTCAGCAGCAATAGAAACCTGTTTGAGGATGTCTCTGCTAATGACTCTGGTACAGAAACCTTTTTATTTGTTGCGATTCTTCATTTAAAGTTTGTAATATATACATATAAAGCTGTGGCTTTTCAACCAACCTTTATTTTTTATTCGTATACCTGTATGTACTTATTTGTATGCAAATGTTATTACTGTGCATGTATGTATATATCCACAGAGATAAATGAAAACTAATATTTAATAACTGTAGTAAATAGTTAAATATGATGAATACTACTAATTTGTTTATCGGTTTAATAAAACAAAAGTAATTTTCTTGCAGAGACCAGCCCATCTATCCTCGAAGACAGTAGCACAAGACAAGAATTTGCCATCGTCTACGCCATCAACACCACCTTGATTCCCAAGATGGCTGACCAGGATGACATTGCACTTTTGAAAAGCCTGACCAGAGATGTGTTTCCACAGAGTGTGCGTCCTAAGTCTGGTGTCCTTGGATACGACCCTGACCTTGTGTCAGCAGTTCAGGAGCAGATGGCACTGGACAACCTGCAGGCGACACAGGCCCACGTCAACAAAGTATGGCTGTCCTCAGAGTTGCCTTTTATATTTACTCAATCTATATACTAATTCTATACATAACAAAATGAATTTTCAATGTTAAATTTTTTAAAGCACATACTTCATTGGCAACTGAGTCTTGAAGGATGGCTTTCTTCCCCCAAAAAATACACATTTCTATTGTATGTAACTTGCAAATCAATTGTATTTTATTCTAGACAATCTCTTATTTGTTTGTATCTGATTTCTTGTCATCCACTCATTTTACAATTCCTTACAAACACGCATAAATTTTCAGTGAAGATAGATCATTGAAGAACAAGATGGTGCTATATCATTTGTGTAAAAAATTATATACTTTGCGAATGTCCAGAAGTTGCTTCTTGAATGCATATTCTTCACCTGAAGCACAAAGCTAAGATTGATAGTTACAAAATTCCCCTCTTCAGATTCTACAGCTCAACACTGCAATGAATCATGGGAAGGGAGTGATTCTGATTGGACCAGCTGGGAGTGGGAAGACCACAGCGTACCAGACACTGGCGCGGGCCATGAATTCCTTACACTCTCGGCCTCCAGAGCCAGATAAAGATGACAACAAGGATGAAATTAAGGACAAGGGAATCGCCTTTCACAGCCAACAGAAATTAAAGGTGAGAGTGGTATGCCATCTTTATATCTTTTTATACACTGTAGTTTTACTGCAGACTGCTCTCTAGACCAATAAATTCAGGGTGGTATGGATTCACTGGATAGTACGTACATTTTAAATTTATGTAAATGTATACAAAGGCATATGTAAATGTGTTACCTTTTGTGCTATCAGTGGAAAGAATGAAGAGTAGAGGGACAAAGTCATTTGACAGGTTATCAAATTGAATTGATTGTAGTATTTGTATTGAAATGAAGAAATTTCATTTTCAGAAAATTAATATAGTTCTTGAATCTGGAAAATACAAAACGTTTTGTAATAACACCATAAATTAAAAGAAATTAAAATGTAAGAAAAATTTAAAAAAAAGAAAAGAAATCTTTATTTCTGTACATTGAGATAGACAAAAGCTTTCCCTTTTTTAAAACATTTGTATTTACATTTATTCGTGATGCTGATACATTGTTTTTACATGATGATGTTTATTTACATTGGAATATAAATCAATGTAATTTCTCATCAGTTTACCGAGCTGAAGACAGCCAGAGAAAAGAAACATTGGGTGACCCCAAAAGTAGGTCAAGGTCAATTTTCACCAGCACCCAGCTCACACACTGGACATTTTGCTGTAGCAGCACATTTCAGTTTTCAGTTCTTATTTGTTGGTGTTTACTGAAATGCATAGATAGGATTTTGTACTTTTGAATAATGCACAGATTTCATCAAGGCTTTTTTCTTTCAGGAAGTCTCTTATTTGCAACACGTTGTATTTTTAATAGAAGATTTTATTATCTTGGCTTTACTCTTTTATACTACATAAAATATTTGGAAAATTATTTTGCCATAATTTTAAATTGAATTCGTAGCATTTTTAATAAATCAACCAAGTGAACTTAATTGTCTTTAGTATTTTTGTATTCAAGATTTTGCAATATTCTGTTGTACTCTAAATGGGTACAGAGCTTTTCTTCTAGAAGTTGCAATTTACCCATATATGATTTCATAGAATTTTTTTAGAAAATGGGGAGCACATTTCACATATAAACTCATAATATAAATATTTGACATAACATGATTATCATATGATACAAGTAGCTGTGTTGCACTTTTATCTACCACAAGCACTTTGCAGTTTGTTGAACAGTTTTCTCAATTGTGCACATTGCAGTTTTATTCTTCACAGTAGATATTAATAGGAAGTGATGCTTGCAAATTGCTTAGAATCAGGCTAACAGATGTCACGTAATTCCCCCCTCACCTTCCAGCTACTAACAGAGAACACGGAGAAGAGAGAGTCCAATGCATTGTCCAGGTTCCGCAAGGTGTCCAAGAGCACGTCTAGTGTGGCCGAAAAGCTGTCCACATTACTGAAGGATGTGAACAAGGCCAAGAGGATCCAGTATCCTAAGATTGAGATCAACACCTTCAACCCCAATGCTTTCTCCACAGAGGAGGTAGGTTAATACACTCTACTGTGATGATTTCCTTTTTTCTTTTCTTTTTTTTTATTTGGCTCTTTCTTTCTATATTTCTATATTTGCTTGTTTATTTATTTATTTATTTATTTATTTATTTATTTATTTATTTATTATGGTACTAGTACATTTATTAATTTATAATAATGAAAGTCAATTAGTAATCAACAATATGGTTGCTTACAGTGTTATGTTACTTAGAGATTATCCATAAACGCCTCTATATTCTAGCTATTTGGGAGCTTCCAATCAGGCCTGTGGAAAGATGGACTGCTGTCTAGCATCCTACGCGACTGTCACACCCAGCACGAGTCTGCGCGGAGTTTCTCCAGCACCTTTGATGAGAAGAAGCACAAGGGATTGGTCAGTACACCATCCCCAGTCAACAAGTGGGTGGTCCTGGACGGCTGTGTCAACCCACTGTGGACAGAGCACATGAACACAATGCTGGACAGTGACCGCTTACTGAGCCTGGCCAGTGGAGAGAAGGTGGCACTGCAAGGTAGGGGGCACTCCAGCCAAGATGAGCTGTACAAAAGTCATGGAAATTTTGAAAGTTTTATTCTGTTGTTCTGTTGCACATCCCCTTACAAATATCTTTAGTTAACTGCCCTAATAAGTATACTTTGTATGGTGTTTTAATAAAAAATTTTTTTAAAGGCCTTTTGGTCTTTTTTTTTAATATGTAAAAAGGTTCATTGCTATTAAATAGATGTTCAGTCAAATCTTGATGGAAAACAGTGTATACTCAAGTTTGAAATTTACTTCTGTTCTTTGGCATCCGTTCTTTGTCACAAACAGTTAGTGGTTGGCAAATAGGTCCAATTTTTCTAGAGGATGTCCCCTAGCTTTTCAAAATTGCTGGTTACAGAGATGTGCACTGTTTATAAATCATCATCTGTATTTCAGATGATTTTAACAGAATATTTTGGTCTTAAAATAAAGGCCAATTTTTGTTCCCAAGTTTGTTCTGTGATTGTTGTGTTTACAGTAGTAACCAACATTCTGCATTAGTTTCAATGAAAATTAGTGAAATTACAGGAGGCGATAAATTAACAAATTTCAGACACGACCCATTTGATCTTTGAAATGAGTCACCTGGCGAACGCGTCCCCAGCCACAATATCTCGCTGTGAACTGGTTCACTGTAGCAATGAGACCGTCACTTGGAAGTCCATCGTGGAGTCCTGGAGCAAGGCTGCCAAACAGAAGTGGATCATTTCAACCAATGGGTGAGCGGAGTGGTGATTTTTAATGCTTTTTTTCTGATTGTGACTTGTTTTTCAGTTTGGTGACTTTTATAATCTGAATTGAACATGTTTCATTGAATTTGAATAGTATGTATCTTACAGAATTTTCCTATAGAGTCCTATAGAACGTCCTACTTGGCCCAAAATCCTATAGAGTCCTTTAAGATCCCTTAAGAAATCTAACCAAAATCCTGTAAGAGCAAGGATATATGTTGTACTATACTTGATAAAAACTCTATAGGACAGCCAATAGAATTTTTGTAGAGTACCACAGAGTCCTGTAAGATGCCTTTAGAAAAAGTTCATAAGGGATATGGTATGTGGTTGTGTGCTAGCAGATTTGTATCGTGAAATTGTAAATGGTCTTTACTAACTGTTAATGGAAAAACTCAAATCAAGCCTCTGTTACCATCTTAGTGGACAGTTTATTTATTTATATGATGAAGAGACTGAGATACAATAGAAAAAATGTCTATATAACTTAACATGGTCCAGCTGAACAACAGTGAACATTGACACATTATGTTGTTCTGACTTGAATATATTTAATGAGTTATGTAAAGATAAACTTTCATTCCCCTCCCACACATACATACATACACACATACACACACAGAGAGACACACCTCAGATACATCTATGAAATCGTCCATATTTACTCCAAAGTTCTTAAAATGAAAGGGTATTGGAAAAATATTAAAACCATGCCTTCCTATAATGACCACACATATGACCATATATTAGCACACACCATTACAGTATTTCAATAAGGCACATTATGTATTCATATTTAAAACATTGAAATGATTGCAAGCCCATTTAGTAGGACTGATGATTGACTGGAAAAAGAACTTTGGCAAACAAATAGCATAACATATAGAAAAAAAAATACTTTTAAGTAATAAGGAGTTAGAATCATTCTAAGAAATGTCTGCCTCCAAACACATCAGACACACCTTATGATATATAATTGGACACGCAAGAAGTACAAAAACATGAAAACAATGCAAGTGCTTTTTAAAGCGTTAAAAATAAGAATATGACTCCATTTTCAAAAATACACCCACATTATTGTAGAGGAATGGCACAGGTTCACTCTGTGGTTCAGAGTTTTTATTGGTGTAGAGGATTTTTTTCTTTGCAGACTTTTTGGGAGATGTGAAATGTCCCTTTGTGAATACGGACTATAGAACCATAACTCCTAATTATCTCAATGTTTAGATAACTAGCATTAATAATTCATTGATATAAAACATGAGAAACTCTCAAAGAGTCCACCTCTTCACCACATTACATCTGAGCAAGCTTTTCAGCTGTGTTCTGAACTTGTGGTGTCCTACAGAGTATATGACAGGGTTGACAGCACAGCCCAGGAGGACACACAGTTCCAGTGTCTTAAAACGGGGAATGAGCTCCAGACGCGTCAAGAAAAACGGCACCCAAGATATCATCAGGCTAATGGTTACAATGAGTAGAAGTTTGGCTGTTTTGATATGACGCGCTCGCTGCTTGATTCTCCTTGATGCCCGCGATGGACTGTCCACTCTCTCGTCAGTTCGTGTGTCGGTGGTTGACAGGTCATCACGAGAGGTCATACTGGAAATGTCACTGCCTGAACCAAGGCTTTGTAAGTGTGGAACTGGCAGCATCTGAATAGTGTTCTGTTCCATGGGGAAAGGAGGTTCTGTCTGGCATACAGTTGATTTATCTGAGGAATCATCTGTTGGATTATCACCATTAATATACTTAACTTCTGGATTTTGTTCCTCATTGGGGGATGTGTACAGATGGTGTGTCTTTGGTTTGAAATTGTTTTCTCTTTTTACAGAACCCGGTTCTTCTTTTAATTCCGGCTTGCCTTGTACCTTTTGGTCCTTTGAATTCAGTTTGTCATATATTTGCTCCCCACCATGAGCATTCTTTAGAGTGGTCTTGTCTTGTGTTGTTTGTTTCCCTAGTGGCATTCTCTTGGATGTAGAACCACTGGGAGTGGTAATTACAATTTCTAAAGCACTTGATTCTGCAATTAATTCACCATTAGAAGTTGGAACTGAGGGGATTTTAACCTTTAAGCCATTTTGGTTGTTGACCTTCAGGTCACTGACCTCTTGGTCGTTGACCTGCTGTCCATTCACCTTCAATATTTCGACCTCAGGGTCACTGTGGCTGTGAATCTGTACTTCTGATGCTGCGTCCAAGCCACAACAAAGTTGGCTTCTGTTTAAGTTTCTTTCAGGGTTACTCTCTTCCTCATTATGTGCAGGACAAGCAGACTGGCAACCACAACAAAGGTTGTTGTGCATGTGTTCCTTTTTGGTGTTTTTGTTCTTTAAATTAGAACCGCTGGTTTCAGAGGACTCTGAGTTGTTCATTGGTGTTGAGGATTTTCTCCTTGCAGACTTTTTTGGAGACATGAAACGTTTTGAGAAATTCCTAAGAGGAATGGTGGAGATCATTCCAGTGTTTCTAATTATGCTTTGTCCAAACCCAAAACTGACGTTCCTGTCTCTCTGGCGAGCAGCGTTGAACACACTGCAGTACATGAAGGCAATGATAACCCCCAATATACAAAACACTGAGAAAGTTATAATTTGTATGGCAAGTCTCCCATCATCGTTAATGATCTCCTTATCATGTCCTGAACGACAGTCGCCAGTGTAGACGTAGATATATTTGACATCGATCCAGACCCAGGTGTAGCCGCCCTCTGTTAAACCAGGAGGAATGCACACCAGGATGGAGAAGATGGTAAGAAGTATTGTAGCCCCCTTCATACACCTAGTGTTGATGGATCGCACCGTAGGCTTACATATGGCAACGTACCGATCAACTGCAATGGCAAACAGAAGACAGAAGTCAAGTACAACTCCAACGTAGGTCAAATACATCATCAACTTACAGAACACATCAAATTGGAATAGGTAATAGTTGATGAACACCTGACCTGGAATGACTAATATGCAGGCTATGAAGTCCACCACAGCCAGCGCAATGATCAAAATGGCAGAGGTGTTCTTGTTCCGCAATGACCAGAATACATTCAGAACAAACATGTTGCCGACTGCGCCAATCACAGCTGCCAGAATCAATAGCGCCGTGGCTATACTGGTGTCCACAGATTTTGTGTCGACTGCGTAGAAGCGTTCCCTATATTCTTCAATTTCTTTCTCCTCAGAGAAGCCCAGATCTGATAAAATTTGATCTGATATGTTGAATGTCCAGCCATTTGGAGCTGGGATGCAGGTAACAAGGCCCGTCTCTGAACAGCCTGTTAGTGCACTTGTCAGGTTGGTCAGTATTGCTGAGTTTGATGGCACCATAGCTGAGTACTCTCTTGATGTTGTGACCTGTTGCTCACCTGTTGTGGTTCTGTTGCTCGCCAATGCTCTAATTACCATAGCAGATGTCATATTTGCCATTTTGTCATGTTATCCTGAATGAGCCAATATATTTATATTGCCAATATATGTATGGTATAACTCTTGTGCATTAAATAGTTCCACAGAATTTGACAACCCAATCTCTGTGGTAGGTACTTCTATTTAGTTCCTGACTGCATAAAAGGCAATGCTTAAACACAAACTACAGTTTTGCCCACTTTTTAATTTTGCACTGAGTAATCCAGTCCAACTTTGCCACAGTTTGTAAAATACCTGTGTGATTCATTCAGCACTGCCAGATCAGCAGACATACAGTGCTAATTGTCTCCTGTGTGTGTTACTAGAGAATTTGTCTGGGTTTCAAACCAAGTTTATTATCTATCTTGTCATGAGTAATTATCCTAGTCATGTTTGGTGATGATCAGAGTTAAGTCATGCTGGTATGAATTACTCTATATAAAAGTGAATCACTTTATTCAACATGATGAGTCCATTGGGTGCCATTGAATTGGTTTCAGTTCAAATATACCAAGCTTGATCCTGTCTGCATTAAATCATTTAATCTGTGCTTCAGAAAGATATTAAATATTTCAAAAGAGTACCAGATTACAGTTGTTTCTGTTACCAGCAGTGCTGTATCCAGAATGTCCATGTGTAGGGATATAGAATATAGGGAACAGCTTTGTCTGATCAAAGCAACATCTCTTCTGCAGTTGTTGGCAGCTGTTTGACACTTTGGTAAAAAATCTTTCTTTTCCCTAATAAATGTGACTGGAGATTCCCTTTATCTATCTCTGACTGGTAACTTCATTACTGCAAAGTGCCTGATGAATTGTTCTAGTGTTACTGTTTAAAGCATATACTCTGGCAAGGAAACAATGTACAGAGCCAATTTGTATGGCCTACAGAATGGTACCATTAGCTCTCTGAAACACTGTCAGATTGCTGCAGAATTGGACATTATTTCATTTGGTTAGTTCTGAGAAAAATTGGCTTAATGAAAAGTTGTGCCTATACACAGTACGGTATTATCCCTTGGGGTTTCCAGATTTCAATTACCTTCAGTTTCTCTTTTAGTTTCTCTGAAACATCATTGGTAAGCTTGGTTCTTTCATCAGGTAATCCTATTTTAGAATAAGTCTGATGAAAAATTTTGCCCACACAACTTATATTTTCCTAATTTATATAGCTTACAGTTCCATTATAACTGTAAAATGCCATCAAGCAGCAATAGCATTGGCCATCAATGAGGGTAATTCCCCGTCAGTTCCTAGCTGTTGCCTGTTTATGTGTCTGGTTGTGCTGATGAAAAAAAAGATAATTGAATTGCTGATCTCCTGATCTCTGACACCGTGAGTCTCCATCTGTCATCTGAATGTTCCAAATCCACAGTTTTATGATCTAATAATTCAGTAATCTTTTCTGAATTTGTTTGTTATTTTTATGCATTAGGCCAGCATAGGAGAGATCAAAAATGTCACAGTTGATCTAAAATTTCCAACTGGATAAAGAGCTTTTTTCTTTTCTGACATATAGCAGCTCAGTTGGGATCACTTTTATACCCTGCAAGTTTTAGGGAAGTTGTGTTTCAGCTTCACGCCCTGCAAGTCTCTGGAAAGTTGGCCAAAGAATTGGCATGAACAGAGAATCAAAATGACCATCAGCTTTTGAAGGAGGGGGGGGGGGGGCTGCAGAAACAGAAGATAATTGGTTTCTGAAGTACCCTGCAGATCTTAGGTCAGAATCTTGATGTCTCTTGGCCCTGGCTCTATCACCACTTGGTGTGTTGCTGGTTATGTTCTACCGGGTCCACACAGAATGAGTTCAGGAATTATGTATTTGGTTGCAGACGTTGCTGAAAAGGAAAAAAAATGGATTGTTAAAAATAAAGTCTTTTTTTTTTACAAAACATGATAAGTGTGAATAATACAAAAAATGAAATGAACTGATAAAGTTTCAAACAAATTCAACAATTTGCCCAGATGATGATTACGTACTTTTAAGTTTTTTTTCCTGGAACCTGTTACATTGACTTAGTGTACAGTGGTGAGACTGAGACTTTCATCTGCTAAGTGAGAACCATCCATTAGAAATCTTGAAAGATTGAATGCTTATAAGGCCGATATGATTGATTAGAGAACTCATACAAAATCATGGCAATAGTCTTACACAGTGGTAATCCTTACAAACCATGAGTATTAGATAACATCAATGAAAAATCACACCATGAAGAAATCTTATAAAAGATGGCTGATATGGTAAAATGAAGCCTATTATGAGATTTACAATGGCTGGGAATTTTTATGAAATGAGACTGAAAATGACACTGATTGTGCTGACATTAAAGTGAACTGGGAGATTATGAGAATACATTGCTATGTTTTCTGTCTGGGTATCATTAGATTTTTTCAAGATGCCCTTTTTTGCTCAAGTCATGGATTTTTTTCAGATATTGCATGCAGACTGAGATATGCTTTTTCTCCTCTTCAACATTGCATTGACTCAGAGATAAGTCACAGCACTAATCCACAGTTAGTTGTTATATCCTCGGCAGATTATCCTGTAAATTACACTTTTAGTATATACGTAATTCACAGAAGTTCAATTTGTGTACAGTGTTAAACTTAAATGTATTTATCTAATCCATTTTCTTCCATGCCTTTGGATTTTCACCTTCATCATTTTTTCCTTATCCTTGTAATTCATGTTGTTCCATACAAATGTCTATAGCAAAACATCTTATTTATTTTAACATTATTATTTTTTTTATTATATATAATAAATATTGTCAACCACCAGCCTCTCTGGTAGTTTTCTCTCTTTCCAACTCCATTGACTACCCACTGGCCATAGAAGTGATAGAAAAACAGCTTCAGAGGGCTACAATGCACTTTTTACACCAAATTTACTTTCATATTGATTTGTGATCTGTTTCTGAAAAGACTAGATGGAAGTAAAATATTTTTTGTGTTGGTATAGATTAGTTAACAGTCCAGTGGTAATACTAAATGTGCAAGTAGTGTATTAGAGTGCAGACTGTGCCTGGATTATAATCTGAATTTTTAAAAAGATTAATCAGTGCTGCTTTTAGAATTAGCAGACCATAGCTAGGAAAGTAAATAGTTATAATGCTGTTACATTAATTATTAATTTTACAATCAGTGATTGCTAATGTGTGCGTAGATGTAACTTACTCATTTGAATAGATGTCAGTTGACAACATATCCCAGCTAAAATTTATTTTGTCATAACAATATTTCTAAACCAGTACTGTAAAAAGATCAATTTCATTAACTTGGCCTTAATAGTACATACATTAAAAAAAATATAACTTTTAGCAAAAATAATAATATTTTTATATTTTTGGTATGTGATATGCAGTGTTTTTGGCACAGATATTATTAATATTATTATTATTATTATTATTTTTTTTTTTTTTGTTAACCATTTGGCTTGACAACAAGTTCTGCACTCAGCAAGAGTCCCTGCAGAGTTGGATCAACCTACATAACTGATAGTTTCATTAGAAATGAGTCCATATCCTTATAGCATCATACGCTATAAAACTTAATCAAAACCCCTCATGAAATGTTCAGATTATATTTCCCCACACCAGCCTGGCACGAAGTCATTAAAGTTATAACCCCCCCCCCCCAACCCCCATCCCACCCCACACAAGCTGTACCACTCATAGTAATCTGTCTGGACTGGGAGTGCTTCTATGAGGGTTTAATTAACTGGAAGGGAGTAACATGCATAGAGCCCAAGCACAACTGGGTCGGGGATTAGGATTGGTTTCAGTTGATGAAGTGAATTAAATATGCACTCACCTGTGTTGAAATGTGAAGACAAACATGAGCTTTTCAGCTGTCAAAGATTATTGATTTATTCTCAAAAATTTTAAATTTAAAAAATGACAATTTTGTCTTTATATTGAATAAAACCATAGGAAGCAAGAATATACAAGTCAAAAAAGCACATTAGCATTCAATCTGTTAAATCAACTTGGAGCAAGGTATAGGAAGTAGTTTTCCAGGTAATTTTGTTTCCTAAACAAAGTGTCATCCTCATGAAATATCATCATCATCACTTCAGTTGCCAGTACACATGTGCACCATAAAGCCAGGCTAATTCAGTGCAGTGTTTGTCATTTTAAATTGAAAACCTATCCACCAGCATTTGTTGTCAGGTAATATTTTAGCACAAAAATGACAGCAGTGACTTTTCAAAAGCTGCTCACAGGTAGACAAGATTCCACCTCATTCCACAGTGCCCTGAGTTTCATGGTCATAATGTCATCCCCCTTATGTTCTGTATTGAGTTATACAGTTGCCACTGTAACTACGAATCTCAGGGTTGTTACTCTATGGAACCAGGTGATAATGTGCCTTTAATTGTTTTGCAAATGAGTAATTTCCGTGAGAGATGTGTTTCTTTCATGTTGCTCCCAAATTAGGGAGCTGGCATTGATTTTGCTGTACGTGTGTGGAAAGGCATGGTGCTTGACAAATCTGGACTTTTCTAGATGTAAGAGGTGCATGTGTATCTCTCCAGTTACCATTTAATAAAGAGCGAATTGACTGAGTAACATATGTAAATATTACATAGTACACATATTATAACTGAGAGCTGATTACAAAAAGTGTATTTCTATTCTCTGGTTTTACCTGTAGTCCAAAAGATATAACATGCCAGAATACAAGTAAAAATAATAAATATTCTTGGTTGACTTAGAAAATAAACTTATCAAATCATCCTAAGTTCTATTTCAATTTCAGCCAAAATAAATTCTCCGTCGGATTTTTTTTATTATTATTACATAGCATCAAAGTGCAACTTAGTGCTAGTTTCCATTTAGAGCATTTTCATTATAGTAAATCTTGTGTCAAGGGATTCATTTTAGTACATAATCCTCACATCCAGTACTATACCTTCACTTTGTAGTGAGGTGCCCTCCACTATGTAACATGAAATACAATAAATCATCTTCACTTTGAGCACCATAGGTGTTGGCAACCATATGGCCTGTGTAAGTATGCTGTAGTTGCAAAACTATCAACTAAATATCAACTAAAAAACTTTCATCAATGTATTCTGTGGTGCATTTCCTTTTATCTTCAATTGATAAGTTGATGGTATGGACATGACTTTAGGACTCCATTTGATGTAATGCAGTCAAAATCACATCTGTGAATTGAGTCCTATCTATTAGATTGGTTGTTTTGGAACATACATGGGGTAGAAAATGATCATCTAAATGCAGTGTGTATAATCATCAGTTATCCAATGACTGCAGATAAGTAATGAATGAAGGCTTTTAGCAGAGGTGTTGAATAGAGTGTCATTTACTTAGATGGCTGCATTATTTCATCCTCATGTGCCTCACTATACTTATTAGAGTCTCAGCAGGTCTGATCAGTGTGAGATAGTTACTTGATGATGTCATTTAGTCTATTTCTGGTCTAAGTTAGCTCTGTTGTAAACACTGCCACATGATGCCATTTAGTCTATTTTTGGTCTAAGATAGCTCCTTTGTGAACACTGCCAGATGATATCATTCAGTCTATTTCTGCTCTAAGTAAGCTAGCTGCTGCTGTTTTTCCTATATCAAAAGTGTCACTGCTCACAGTAACATTAATCCCGTTCACACTAGCAATTTTAGACCCCTAACCTCAGTTCTATCATGGTTTTAACTTTTCCAAAATGAATGTACTCTGTGGGCAAAATTGAAGGAGGAAGGAGTAGAGGAAGACATTTAGAACATCATACATTGGCAGTCTTTGCAACAAATCTACAACTGCCCAACAATGAGCTCATCCAGTCAACTGAAAAAAGAGTAAACTGGGGGACCATGATTGTCACTGCCTCCACCAGGCCTGACACTTGAAGAATATGAATGCATGCACCAGTTCACAGAGCCTTACTGTGGCTCTAACCTGCTCAGTCCACTCTAGGGAGCCCTGCCCTCTCCAGGGATATTCATGTGTATTATATGTCAGAGCTAGCTTTGAAGTGAACCATTTGGTACATTGATATGGCTTCAGAAAAATGTTTGAAATGGTTTTACTGGCATTGGAACAATGGCATGTTGCTTTTTAACAGAGTAGTTTATGAATTCGTAATTAGATTACTTATATGTTGAGTGCACTTCCCTTTCTGATATTTTTTTGATCTCCTAAATCACTTACCTTTTGATATTGTTCTGGACACTGAAGGATTCAGTAGCTATTGTGAAGACTAATGTGAGCCAGTGTTAGAATTAATGATAAAGGAAGTAATGACGCACTTAGGAATGTAAATATCTGCACTTGCTGTTGTGTCAAAATGGCATTAAATGACTTCATTCATATCTCATGGCTGCTATAAAATTACATTCCTTGGTTGATAAAAATTGCACCTTTGTTCAAGCCTAGAAATATGTTACTTTGTACATTTTAGTAACTGCTTTCACACTGTGTTCTACCTCACATAACACAAACAACATCACTGGAGTATTTTCAGTCCTTTTTCATTTCACCAGAAATGATGATATACCATTCAGTAAATGTTATATTCCTATTTTATTCTTAAATTGTTCCCAAACCCTCCATACCAACTGGTGCAATACGATGTAATGTTACCTATGGAAAACTTGGTGTTATTGATTAATTGTATTTGTAGTAAAAAATACTTGCTGTTGGATGGATGTCATGAATCAGTGTGTTTATCATGGTGACTTACTATGTGAGAACTGGCCTGAAGGAGGGATAGGGATTGCAGAGAGTTTTATATATAAACCTTCCATGCTCTCCCTTGCCCTCTTCTAAACTAAAACCCTTGATATGCCAATGCATGCATGTGTAATGAAAGTTTTTTATAAGGACATTTTTACTTTATCTCTCATTGTGGCAATTACAGGGTGTGTTTCTGAAATTTGGAGTCTGTCTTTGATTTGATATTAAGCCATTCCAGAAATTTCAAATATCTATACAGTAATAACCAATAATGAAAGATACTTTAATAGGTAGACAGAATATCGAAAGAAAAATCATCCTACAGTATGCTGTAATGAAATATAGAGGAACGAATTATAGAGATTAACCCAGTGCTTTACATACCTTTTAGTTTGCTTTTAGTTTGCCAATTGCAAATCAAAACCAGTTGTTTCTTCTTATAGCCATCACTAAGTTGAAATGGGTCTAAAGTGTATAAAAAATTTCTTCCCCAGGCTACAAGGAACCTACGTATCTCTTCCTCATTTTGGTCATAAATATTTACACAAAATCACTGCAAATCCAAGTCCGTTTCACGTCTGGTATTCAATGGTTGATTCAAGTCTGGTTATGGAGTCATCACTGCCCCAGGCTGGACTTGGCATGTCTTCCTTCAACTTTAAAAAAATAACTCCACTGAAATGGCCGCAAGGTACCTTGAAAACCTGCCCCAGCTAGTTATTGTGCAAACATTGTGTAATTGGCCTCAATATGAAAGGATATGGACTAATTTCCCTCCAGCTGTAAAATGAGGTGGAAGTCCCATTAAGGTTGTCATCCTGTGTGTCCTATTGCAGTACAGCAGAGTGGCGGGTCATTGAGGCAAGTTGTACTGTATGTGTCTCTCACTGCTGCCAGCCAACCAGTACCTACATGTAGTGTATGTGTGTGTGTGTGTGTCACAACCCACTGACACTTCTAAAGCTGAGACCTGCACACTTGGAGATTAAAATGAACAGGTCTCATTGGATTGATATCAGTGTAACATTCTCCATGCTTTCTATTCAGTTTATACTTATATTTGTGGAAAAATATAAATTATAAGTTAATTGCTTTTATTAATTTTTTAAATGTAATAAATTGGGTTCATTGGGTTCATGAAATCACCAGTGTATCAGTAAGGTTATTCTAAAAAAAGAGTCCCTATTTCATTTATACTTTTTTGCCAGTTAAAAGTGTATGAGACAAGGATAATCCTGTGTCCCTTCAGTTTTACTTGATGCCATTATACATTTATGTAAATTACCAGGGGAGGATTTTCTTGGTACCATGGTACCATTGACTTCATACTTCAATGCACTGTCATGACTAACAATATATACTTTTAAGAACATAAATATTTTATATCTGTTATAAAGTTTTTTGTAATGCACTAATGAATGATTTAAAAGCCATCACAATGTATGTACCAGATGCATTATTGCCACTACTTTAGTACAGGTAGAATTGATGCATGAAAGGTACCATGATGAGTATGACTACTTTTATAAACGTTTAGAGTAACATCAATAATTCAGACTGCAAATAGTCACTTTGAAATGAACATTTTGTTAGGGTTATAACTAATTTGATTAAGGTACTATGTAATGAAGACATCCATTATATATATTTTTTTACCTGATTTGCCTTATTTTGAATATGGCATTAAAAGATATTAAAGCTAACAAATTGATCCAACAGATTACTTTCTAAAACAGTCCCTCTATTTAGTGTTACTGTGTGCTTAAAAGCTTTGCTGTATGATTTGAAGTATTTTCTCAACAAAAGCAGCTTGAGAATTCACTGACAAGGCCATTAATCCAATTCCTGGACTGTTTGTTGAGTTCTGGTTTTAAATAATTGATTACTTGCAGTTAATACTTGCTGGTTATTCTTTTTTTTTTTACAGCAAATTAAATAGAGTTTTTGGGTATACAGTACCTAGTCTGAGGTTTAGCGTCAAATGAAAACCCATCCATATTTTCAGCAAGCACCTGCTGGGAAGAAGTTAGTCACTTCCTACACTGTGTTATTCAGGGTACAGTGTGATAGAAAATGGCCTTGAAATGAAAGATACACATGAACGCATGGTTAAGAGCTGTACTATCTGTTTATGATGGATAACAGCTTTTAAAAAAGCTTAATTTTATTTATTACAGAAGCAAAAGTGACTTGGGAGCATTACTGAGTAGCTTGGCAAAAAATGAGCTGTAGACCTCACAGTGTACTGTGATAAACTGTAAAACATTTGTCCTAGCACTAATATAAGTCGGTGTAAAGGGGCCTTAATTTTTAAAGAGTTTATTTAGGTAGCAGAAAGATTTTTTTAACGGAAACTTAAAACATAATGGCCACCATAGTGCAGATCCTGTCAGCAAGTGCCATTTCCAGTGCTGGCAGTACTTAGAATCTTAAATCAGTGCACTATGGTCTTTACTGTCTAGATAACCAACAAAGCCTGAGAAGATTCAATACATATGGTCTTATTAGAGAAGACAGGTTGACAGAGATGTTTTAGATTAGATTTGTTAAGCCTGTTCTCTGCTGTGTAACTTGTAACGAGAGAATTTGGTGTTGCATAACGTGTTCAAATTGAATCATTGAAACAATATGCTCAAGGGAAATGAGCCATTATTCTAAGCTTTTTGTTGAAATGGCCCTTTCTGTTCAGCAGAAAAACAATAAAAAAAACGTGTGGGTTGCATCCTCAGTGAAAAAAAAAAATGTGAGAAATGGTCTTGAAGTGGCATTTTTTCAAATTTTTGTGGTCTGTATCTTTTATTTTCTTATATAAGCTACCCTTTCAGACATTAAAATTGCTTCCTTTGCTGAAATAAGTACATTTTTTTGCTTATTGAAAGTAACAAAAATATATAAATATGTATAATGCTTCACTTGACTTAATTTAAGATAAATATTTCTACGTATATGCACTGCAGTGTACAGCTTTGTTGTAAGGCCGTACAGAAAAAATGATCTAATCGCATGTTTCAGTAATGAGATACAGTCTGGTGTTCCTTCCATCTTCAGCAAGATAAAACAGATCATCTTTTTGGTCTTTATCAGTGACAGCCAGCAGAGTATCTTTAAGTTACTAGTTCATCTTTTACTGTCTGTTTTAAGTGACGTCTGTCTGAATTGTTCAGTGTCTTAATCCAGTTTGCCAGGCTGAGGTGGTTGTTTGTTCAAATTAAAGCGTTTATTATTCTTCTTTTATGGTAGCATTCAGTGGACCAACTAGGCCGAGGGTCAAATATGGCCGACCCACTTGAATACTTCCTCACGGGATATCTATTCAGTGTATGTTATATTTATTTAGCTGATTAAATGGCAAGCTTTGTAGTGGGTTGCCATATTTGAACCTCAGGCTAGTTAGTCCCCTGTTCTGAATGGGGCCTAACTGTGCACTTTGTTAAAAGACATGCATATGGCACCAAGAATTGTGCTGGGTTTGAAAGCCTAGTATTGTTCTCTGGATAGCTAGGGCTTGACATTATCTGCCAATTTGGAGATCAATTTATCTTCATCAGAATTTGGCTAAGGAATTGAAGTCTGTATATATTGATTACTGTAATTTGAAAATTGTTCCCTCTGTTAGGTACAAACTTTTCATCTATTGGTACTCATTTTATTTTCGCTCTTTTGGACCAGTTTCATAAATATCCTTATTCTCTCTCTCTTTCTCTGAAACCACAGGTTGCTGTCCCTGACCTAAAAACCAGATCTAAATTGACCATTTAAAAATAAAGACCAAATTGAACTAAGTAGACATTTCCTTCTATTTATCCCAGCTGTTTTATAAAGTGGACGTTTCCTGCAATGTACCCAAGGCAAGTTGTTCTCAGACCCAGGCATAGCTTTTATTAACAACTCAATATGCCTATTTTGTAACAAAACACTACAACTACTGGGGTAACATCATAGATGGTTTGATCTGTCATTAGTTCCACTCTGCTAAGTGACATTTGGCAAGGATGACTGCTGGTTTAATGTCACCAAGCAACATGAAAATGAAAAGTAATAACTTTTTTTTTTCTTTTGTGGATTGCTTAACAGATCGTTTATCTTGAATGCTTACATTGAGGCCTTTTTTTTTTAAGCTAATTTAGATAATTTTTTTAAAAATTATTTTAGTGTTGGTAGAATGAGCAACCCCCAATATCAAGTTCCTTCCAGTTAAAATCCATAAAAATCTGTATGGCATTGCCTTCTCCACGTGTTGAAGTTTCATGTAGCAATATTTCCTCATGAAATAGAAGATGGGTTCTTCAGATAAAGTGCGTAAACAACCTCCATTGATTTTTTTTTTCAAGAAGAAAATCTCCTTGTCATTTTGTAGCTTGGGAATTCACAAGTGTCAGTGTCAAGAAGATTTGTTACTGGGCCATGTTCACAGATAATATGTTCTTCAATGCTTTAAAATATATCAGATATTCTCCTGCACTTTAGGTTTAGCCAGTTGCTACACATTTTGGCCATCTAGTTTTATGGGTACTAGCACTGTATTGTATGCCTGCAAGGGTTTCTGTATTGAACATTTTCTCCTGTCATCTGATTTTCAATCAAATATTCTGAAAAGTTTGGCCACTGAAATTAACCAGTGTACATTTTGCTGCTTTTCTTTCTTTTTTTTTCAATTTCCCTGACCGATGATATGGAAATAGATTGAGGAAATGGTGTTCTCAATCAGTGAAAACATTTCAAAGGTTACTGACATGTACAGTTTACAATTAGACAATTTATCAGACATCTTTTCAGCAGGATCAGAGGCCTTCTGTGAAATTGAGTTTCTGGAACTGATAGCTAGATGTACCATTTCATCATATCCCAGAAAATATTGCAATATTTCATTACCAAGGCAATAAGACACATTATTTCAGAGAATAGCACAAATTAATTGAATTAGCTTTATTAGTGAATCAGATGAAAAAATGCCATTTTCAGTATATCAGCCATTTTCAGGAATTTACTGCAATGTTGTTTATTCATGGTGACTGACATAATGCTTTTTTCTGTACATTTTTGATTATTAATACAGTTAATTCAGTCTTCAGTATGTTTGCCTGTGTTTGGAGCTGGTTAATAACATTGAAAAATTACCATTACATTATTTAACTTGACTACAGTCATAAATTTTCCATTCCCAATATTCCTAATTACATATACTGGGTGCTTTTATTTTATCAAAATTGCATGATAAGATTTATACCCGGAAACTTTTTGTCTTGTCAAGCATCAATCGTAATTAGGAATACAGTTTTTTATGGCATTATTCTTTGTAGCATTCCAGGCAGTGTGTAGGTAGATGTCTCACCGAGTCATTTGTCTTCTGGTACAGTTACCCATGGAATACTATGTGGGATTGGGGAGGAATGATTAAGGGATTAATGAACAGAATGTTTTTTATGTGGTTTGTACTTGCATGATGCAAGAGTTATTGTTACTCATCACTGGAAGTCAGAAGCCCTGATGAAGCCATGTAGTTTTAATTGAACTTTGAATTGTGATATTAAACTTTATGTGCCTAACAAAACTGATGAAATTCCTGAAAGAGA